TTACATTTGCAGAAGACTAATTAGTCTCATTAATATCTTGAATGACAAGAAGCAATACTAAATATGACCCAAACACATACAGAAATGATGGTACAGAGGTAAAAAGTGACTACTTCTCTTTGTGAAAACTGATATTTTAAGCCCTTTCATTATTTATTAATTTGGGAGTGGTACAGTCTAGAACACTTCACTCTGAGCTTTCCCTATAATAAATTTTAAATTCCCAAATTTCAAAGTCCCTTCTGCCAATCAGGTGTGAAACCAGCTGTGTTATGCTGAGATAGAAACAGGCGTGGATGCATCAGGTCTCCATTACTTGGTCTGAATCTTCAGCCAAGAAAAAATAAGTCTCTTTGACCACAATCAACCATATCTAGATAAAAATAAAAGAAAATTAGAAGATGTATGCATTCTCAGTGTCCTTTGTGATACTTTTCAAGATAGAGCACCACACATGCAGAGGAGTCCATTGGACAAATGCACCATAAACTGTTATATTATTATCAAGGCCCTTCCCTACAGTGCTTTTAAAAGGCATTGCCCAGGATATGTAACAGGAAGGAGTAGGGGGCATTTAAAAAATTGTATTTTTCCATTATATAAACAAATGTCTTGTTTTTCTTAAATCAGTTCTTAAATCAGTTCTGAGTTTTTGCAGCACCATCTAGTGAGACTAAGGGGGTTTTACTCAACATTTCAGTAACACTGGACTGTTCTCTCTTTACACTTGCATTTCTTTTTAATCACAATCTCCTTATAGTCTATTGGTTGAAGGTCTTTGGGGCCAACAAGCTGTTGAAGAAGCTGCCTTTGGTGCACACAATAGTTCTTTTTACATTTCTTTCTGAACTACACAAAATCCCACAGATTTGCAAACTTCCAAGCTGAAAAACTGCAGAGCTTTCATCAGACCTTGTTATTAATGAATTGCCTCCTAGCTAGTGAGCTGTGCCTCTGATCTGTACCTTGTTTTGAAAGAATACACTCTGCAAGCAAAGAACAGATGCATGATTTATTGGTTATGAAGGATGTTCTCAGATGTAGGCATACCTGTCATCATCCCTCACAGGAAGTGTTACTGATTATATTTTCTATAAGACAACATCTATACACTCAGCCCTGTGCCAGACACATGCAAGACTCTGTATGCAGAATATCCTTCCTGGCCCAAGGATGTTGCTGGCAAACAAAACTCTATCTGATTCCAAGCCAATTAAGAGGACACTCATCTTTTGCTAGGCTGCTCTGTCTCTTAAAAGTTTCCCAGTATCTAACTAGGATTAAAACTGATTTATTTTCCTCATCTACTCATCCCTGGTTATAAAATACTGCAGCATTTTTCACCCAACTGATCCAACGTGCGGAATCTGAAACATTTAAAAAAATATTTTCCATACCACTTCTTAAAATAATGGTTTTGCCCAATAAGAAAGTAAATCCCCCCTTTAGAACTTTCTGAATTCTTTCATTTCACCAAGAGCTGTACATCACTGACATCAGAAATAATAAGAATTTCCAAATGAAAGCAACTCATCTCCTTCTAACAGCACATAAGAACATACTTGCAAGTTATGTGATTGTTAGAAAAGATGATCCCACTGTAGGAAGATGGAAACAATATTACATAATTCACTGCATAGAAGCTATGATGCTATTTTGTGTTCTTATCCATATCTTCTACTGAAACAGTCATAAATCTACAGTCATTCATCTCTTATCTGAAGCTGAAGGAGTTCGTGCTCCACTTACACAGTGGATTCCTCTCCTCTGATAAGATTTCTTCAGTGAGCCGAGAGAGGGGGTGTTGCCTGCACCATGGCTCCATAGGTTTCTGTCTTCTGCACTCTGTATACCCTTGTGTTTCTTCTATTCTCATAAATGTCACTGCTGTTGCATAAATGTCACTGAACTGCTGCAAGCTGGAGCACAAAGCATCTCTGATTTATCTTTAAGTCACTTTTAATTACCCATGCTTTTCCTTGATAGCTTCTTTTACAGAATTTCTCTTGCATAACTGCTTTGCATAAGGATCATTCATTTCATGGAGTGCAAGGGGAGGAGAAGATCCAAAGATACTGCTCAAAGGAGACAAAGTTTATATTGTCATTCAGATAGCCTCTTAGCTAACAGCATGGGTAGGCCCAGAGAGTCTTCTTGTGTCTCATCTCCCAAGGGTCAAACCCAAAACACCTTAGCTACAATCCTGAAAAAGACCTGCCAGAATTACCTCTTACAATGATTGTAGGTTTACTCTCAAAACTGAAACGTAACTGAAAAAAAAAATTATCAGAATGACTTATGACATGACCTGACATCATCACAGGGAAAATCATCTACCAATATGCAAAAATTATTCTTTTTACTCTAAAGTCCTGCTTTCTTATGATATTACACTCTTGCCTATAATCATCTTATTTTTATGATTATTATTACATCATATTTTCTGAAAACATTTTTGGAAGTGGTTCTACAGAATCTAGAATACATTGATAAATATCAGTTAAAATGCCTTAGTGATTTTATGGGTAATCAGCCAGTATATTAATTGCTGCCACCCAGTGGGCTCATTTGTAGTCTTTGGCTCACCATACTGTAATTTACTACATTATTGTTTGGTTAAATGATTTCATCCTCTCCATCCAAAAGATTGTCATTTATTTTCATCTATCAGCAGCCACTAAAAATGAATGTTTCAAGCTACAAGCTGTGGTTGACTTAAAACATATTGTCCTACAAAAATTTTTCTTCATATCTGTAGCGTGGGAACAGCCCCATGGAAGACAACATACATATGAGCTTCAAGCTTACTGTATGTGAGATACCTGCTTTGTCTTCTGGACTTACCTGCAAAGTCCAAGGCAAATACTTTTCTCTATTTGAATGATAATTATTCTATCAGAACTAAGTTGTTAAACATGTTATACAGAGGGAACTCTTTCCTGAAAAGGGCTGATATTTCTGACCCTCATGTGAATTGCACTGGGGCACTCATGCAGAAGATAAGCCGTGCAAGCAGTTTGCAGTTTGTCTTTCTTACCTGCAGCTCCACTGGTACCAGTAGAAGTCACAGGCTCTCAGCACACCTCAGGAGCTGGCCTGTATAACACTGAAGTGAATAAATTGGCTCTTAAAACTGGGCTGCTGTGTTAACAGCTTCTACAATCTATATAAGTGTTATGAATAATGAAATAAGACACTGGCAATGACAACACATTATTGAAGAGCTGATAAGTGATGCATTATGATTTCACTTTAATGCTGCTCCTGAATGAGAGAACTTGCATGCCTGTGCATGAGGAGGAGGCAGGAGAGAAGGGAAGCTGCTTAATATTCTTCTTGTTGACCTATATTTTTAATTCAGATACCTGTTTGATTTAGAGTAAGTTATTTTCAGGAGGACGGGTCATTTGAAGTAGTAATATGCTGCCCTTAATTTTTGTGCACATAGTAGTCTTGTTGGGCTACACGCTGTACAACTGGATGCCAACAGGGAAGAAAAATAGAAAATAATCCTCTTACACATTCCTGGGTCACCTAGATCTAGTCTGTAATCCTGCAAATCAAGGCTGTCCACCACTGTGGTTGACACAAGTGAGGTGACAAAGTGCAGGAGAGGGTAAGGATAACAACAGGCTGAGTCTTGGCTTGAAGCCAGAAGAGACTATAGATGGGCATAAAAAATCTTCCAAACTTGCCCTAAGATAAGAATAAATTTAGGAAAGAAATGCATTCCAAATCCAGCACCTGGGGAGGTGCAGGTTATGTATCAACCCTCCAACTGAGGCTTCTGTGCCAAAACCCACTGTCCCTTTTCCTGACTTTAGTGGGAGTACTGTAAAATAAGATAATGTTCTTCAGGAATAAAGGTGAAAGAATTTGGCCTTGGTGCTTTGTAGAAGTTAAATAAATCTACTGCAAGAAATCCAAAGTATCTGAAGGTTGAAGTGGAGGAAGAAATTACATCCTTGTACGATATTGCTCATGCTCAAGCACAGCATGGGCACAGATGCAGGAAAAGAGATTTATTCCAGCAATGATAGTGGAACCACTTCGGTAACCAAAGACACCGGGGAATGAAATCACCTTTATTGCTCATCAATGGAAAAAAATAAAAGAACTTTTGTTTCCTGCCTATAAAGCTGTTCACCTTTGATGCTAAAGCAAACGACCAATAAATCACATGGTAAATGCAATTTCCTCCTACATTTTTAATATTTCTTCATTCCCTGCATGAGCCTCAGCTGGAGGAAAAACAAAAACTCTCCAGAGCTTACCAGTTGGAAGTGTTAGAATATTGATTTCACAGAAGGTCACAGATCCAGTTTGTGGTTTTTTCATCTATTCCCCAAATAAGATATAGAACCAAAGCAGCACATGCTGGGAACCTCAGACCAGACAAGAAATGTCAGAAACTGGTAAAATTGAAGCAAAATAGAAGGGATTCAAAACTTCCTATAACACAGAGACAAGTGGAAAAGACATAGTAAGAAATTGTTGAGGACTTCAAAATTACTCCTCCATCATCCTTAAAGTGACTCCTCTATTCAGCTGCATCCCAGTCTGTTGGCATCAAAACTGATGTTTATTGATTTGACTGCTTAAATTTCCTTATGTCATGACAGCTGAATTTTTCCAAATAATGCTGAGTCCCAGTTAGAAACAAACCTCTTTCTTTCAAGAGAAAATGTGAAAGGTAGCAGTTGCGCATACTGGGGGAAACAATTGGAGAATTCATTTGTATCCAGAGCAAAAAAAGTAAGGACATTGGTAATCCAACATTTACAAATATATCTCATGCAGTGAAGTGAAATAATGTTCTATTACCTAAGTTCTTTTCTTCTTCCAAGTTCAAAAATGAGACAGATACAGACATCTTGACTTACCTGTTGGCACTTGAATTGGATTCTATAAACTGTCAGGCATCTATGCTTGTCAAAGGAATGAAAAATGTCATCTGCAGCTTTCATAATAACGTTCTCTGTTTCTCTTTTTTTTCACAGCTCCATTCAACCCTCCTAATGCTGCAGAGAGTATGGTCAAATTTGATGCTTATGGAGATGGGATAGGACGGTACAACGTGTTCAATTTCCAGTACACTGGAGGCAGATACTCCTATGTGAAAGTTGGTCAGTGGGCAGAAACCTTGTCACTTGAGGTAGACTCTATCCACTGGTCCAGAAGCTCTGTCCCTGTCTCTCAGTGCAGTGACCCCTGTGCTCCTAACGAGATGAAGAATATGCAACCAGGAGATGTCTGCTGTTGGATTTGTATTCCCTGTGAAACCTATGAGTATCTTGCTGATGAATTCACTTGTGCAGACTGTGGACCTGGAAAATGGCCCACAGCTGACCTGACTGGCTGTTACGATCTACCAGAAGACTACATCAAGTGGGAAGATGCTTGGGCAATAGGTCCTGTTACCATTGCATGCCTGGGCTTTATTTGTACTTTTATGGTCATTGCAGTGTTCATCAAGAACAACAACACGCCCCTGGTCAAGGCCTCTGGACGTGAACTGTGCTACATATTGCTCTTTGGGGTCTTCCTGTCTTACAGCATGACTTTCTTCTTCATAGCCAAGCCTTCTCCAGCTATCTGCACCCTGCGTCGTTTGGGTCTAGGAAGTTCCTTCGCTGTCTGCTACTCTGCTCTTCTGACAAAAACGAACTGCATAGCCAGAATATTTGATGGTGTAAAGAACGGTGCTCAAAGGCCTAAGTTCATCAGCCCCAGCTCTCAGGTCTTCATCTGCCTGAGTCTCATTTTGGTACAGATTGTAATGGTGTCTGTGTGGCTTATCTTGGAGGCCCCTGGCACCAGGCGGTACACTCTTCCTGAGAAGAGAGAGACTGTTATACTGAAATGCAATGTCAAAGATTCCAGTATGTTAATCTCCTTAACATATGACGTAATCCTCGTAGTTTTATGCACTGTATATGCCTTCAAAACAAGGAAATGTCCAGAGAACTTCAACGAAGCCAAGTTTATCGGTTTCACAATGTACACAACTTGCATCATTTGGCTGGCCTTTCTCCCCATATTTTATGTGACATCCAGTGACTACAGAGTAAGTTTTTGGATATCTGATTCCATAAATCATGTACATTACTTTAGAGGACTGTGTTGGCATTCACTAAAAGCCTCTTTCACTTCCTTTGTCTCCCTGATCTCTTGCAAGCAAGCCCTGTTTCAATATTAATGTCTACCTAAACATATTACCAAGTTTTAGTTTATATCTAAGAAAGACGGTCTCATTTCAAACTGAGCATGTATAGTTAGAGGTGGAAGGGGTTAGTACTATCAATCTGATTGTGATAGAGGCATAGCACATGGATTAGGTATTCATATTGGTTGACCAGTACTTGAAGTCTTAGTCCTAACCGAAAAGTCTAGTAGATCATGAGCTAGAAGGAGTCATAATGAATTATTTGGTGGAGGTGGACCTCAAATTACAAACTGAACTAACTAGTCTCCTTCTACAAAAGAATCTGTCATTCAGACATGGTATTTTCTTCCTAATAAGAAAGGAAATAATTTCAAAATTTGCTATGAAACATTAAATTTAAAAAAATAATCCAGCAAATGTTATGTTCAAATATAGAACTTTCTATTATTTCTCCACTTTGCAAGGGATAAAACACATATTGGTCAGCCTTCACCAACTAACTTAAAAAACATTAAATTGTTTAAATTGTCACATAGTGTTGCAAAGCTTCAAGTTCAATAAAATCGTATTTTTGACAAAGAAATTTTCTCAGAAAAAGATTCAGATCTGCTCCACTGGATATCTCACAGTTATTATGATGTGAGAAGTGACTGCTGGAGTTGGCCCTTACAGCAGTTTGTGGTGAGTTAATTTGACTTTCTGCCCAGAAGAAAGGTAGATTACCTTAGGGTGGTATTATTACCACTAGTATGTCCATGAAACATCATGTAAAACTGTGGAGCTAATAATTTCACTTAACATACTTTTGGTGTGATCACCCTGGAACAGTATATTTAGTACTGTTCTTCTCAGCTTAGGAAAGGTACTGAAAACCTCAAGAAAACAAGGATAGATAACAAACAATGCAGTAAGACACACACAGTGACAGTAAAAGAGCTAAATATATTTAGTCTAGACAAGAGTAAACCCAGGGAGACGTGATCACAGACTATAAATAATTTCAAGGCAACAAAAAGAGAGAAAAGGATTATTCAGTCTCAGGAGAAGTTAGAATGGTGAGTAATGGATTGAAGCTAATGAAGGAAAAGTTAAGGAAGACACAGGGATAGAGCTCTGGACACCCAAAGTAATCAGGAAGATAGACACAGAAGGAGGGTTATATGAGAGCAGAAAGTCACGTGAGTGGGCGGCACAGGCACTAATGGTCAAGAGGAGCATGACTTGATTATTCAAGCAGGATTGTTCAGCCTTATCTCCTGAGTGGGCTTTTCAAAACCTTCTGTAGGCATTTAATTTAAATACAGTGTACCAAATAAGTCAAGTCCAGTCCTACCAAATTGACACAAAATGCTTTTAGCACTATTTTTGACACTTTCATGACATGTCAGGAGCTTTTTGAAAATCCCATCCTGGATGTCTACACTTCCAGGGTTCCTTTGAAAAACCCATGTTTCATTTCCATGAAGGGTTACATGCTGACTGAATCAACCTATGCCATCCTAATGTAGAACAATACTGGTGGCATTGCCAATAAACAACCTTAAAAACGTAATAGTAGCAATGTAAAAATTTAATGTTGACTAGCTTGAGATTTTATCATTAAGCACAATCATCATTTAGGACTCATCCTTCTGAAAAAAAGGGGAGAGATCCTGGAATTTTATCCAGAGATTTGATGTTGACCTCACTGTAATAGTTAAAGAACAAACAAAAAAAAAAGTAATTCAACATAGGATACAACCCTACGAATACTGAAGTAGAAATGTCCCTATATGAAGCCTATGTGACAGGTGCCAGACAACATTAGATATGCTGGAATGGCATATTACTGTATGTCTTACAGATTTACGCACCGAATAACCCTGATATCTGGTTAAGGCCTTCTCTGCTGTGAGAAGTGTTTATGGTATATCTATGCCTCCAGTACATAGATAGGGTTTTGTCTGTTAGACTAAGCTTGTTTATATTGGCATGACTACCCTCTTCTCCCTGAATCAAATAAATTTTAGCAGCAAAAGGAATTCTGGGGGAAGGGTTTACAGTAGAGTTCTTGGTGAGCCAATGATGATGTCAGTTGTGGGACTTTTCCACACACGTCTTCACACAATCACAAAGGTTAGAAGGGACCTCTGGGAATGGTCTTGTCCAACCTCCCCTGATCAAAGCAGGGTCACTTACAGCAGGTCACTCAGGGTTGTGTCCAATCAGGTTTTGAATATCTCCAAAGATGGAGACTCCACAATGTCTTTGGACAACCTGTGCCAGTGTTTGACGAACATTATAGTTTTCTTACGTTCAAACAGTATTTTCTGTGTTTTCGTTTGTGCCTATGGCCTCTTGTCCTGTCACTGAGCACCACTAGGAAAAGACTGGGTCCTTTTTCTTTTCTCTGCCTGTGAGGTACTTATACATGCTGATAAGATCCTCCTGAGCTTTCCCTTTTCCAGGATGAATAGTTCCAGCTCTCTCAGCCTCTCCTCATATGACGGTTGTTCCAGTCCCTTAATCATCTCCATGGCCTTTTGTTGCACTTCCTCCAGCATGTTCATGTCTCATAATGGTGAGCCCAGAGCTGGGCACAATACCCCGCATGTGTCTCACCAGTGTTGAACAGAGGGGAAGGATCACTGCCCTTGTGCTGTGCTGGCAACACTCTACCTAAGGCAGCCCAGGAGGCCATTGACCTTCTTTGCTGAAAGGACACATTGTTAGCTCATGATCTGCTTGTTATCTCACCAGGACCTTCAGAATCTTCTCTGCAAAGCTGCTTTCCAGCTGGGTGGTTCACAGCATTTACTGGTGCCTGGGATTGTTCCTCCCAAGGTGCAGGACTGTTTTCCTCTTTGTTGAACTCCATGAGGTTCCTGTCATCCCATTTCTCCAGATTGTTGACGTACCTCTGGGTGGCAGCACAGATATCTAGTGTATCAACAACTCCTCCCAAATCTGTATCATATTCAAACCTCCTGAGGGTTCACTCTGTCCAAAAATTCAGGTTGTTAATAAATGTGTTAAGCTGTGTTGGTCCTAATATCAACCCCTGGAACAGCTAGTGACTGGCCTCTGGCTGGACTTTGTGCCACTGGTCTCAATACTCAGAGCCCAGCAGTTCAGCCAGTTTCCAGTCCACCTCACTGTCCACTTATCTAGACTGCACTTCATCAGCTTGTCAATGAGGATGTTATAGGAGACAGTGTTAAAAGCCTTACTAAAAATAAAATAAATAATATCAACTACTCTTTTATCATCCACCAGGTTGGTCGTTTCACTGTAGAAGTCTATCAGATTGGTTTAGCATAATTTCCCCTGTGTAAATCCATACTGACTATTGGCAGTCATTGCTCATCCATGAGAGCCTCCTGCCACATATACTTAATTTCCCGACCATTGGGAAGGGCCATTCTTAAACTCGGATGAGGCAATTCTTGAAAAACAGTCAGGCCTCCTAGGCCCCTCTTCTCCAGGGCCATATCCCATGGTATTCTTCCAAAAAGATGCCTGAACAGGTAAACCTGCTCTGCAGGGTGGTGATCCTACTTTTTTAGCTTGCTTCCTCCTCTCAGGATCCTGAATTCCACCATTTGCTGGTTGCGACAGCCAAATCTTTCCCTGTCTGTCACATTCCTGACAAGCTCTCACACTGTCTCTGCCTGCTACGTTGTCCCTCCAGATGGTATCAGGGTAGATGAACTGCCCCAAGAAGAGCGGGGCCTGCAAATGTGAGACTTCGTCCAGATGTCTGAAAAATGCCTCTTCTACTTCTTCCTGATTATGTGGTTGATAGCAGACACCCTCCATAATGCTGTTCACTTTGGTCTACCTGCTAATCCTCACCCATAATCTGTCAGATGGCTCAAGACCCATTGTCAGCCAGAGCTCCATTCACTCCCACTGCTCTCTCACACAGAGTGCAACCCTCTCTCCTCTCCCTGCGAGCAGGGTATTGACCCATGCTGTCACTGGAGAGCTGTAAGTAGAGCAGGAGACATCTTCCTGCTGCCAGAAGTCACAGACTTCCAGCCTTCATCATCATGGGAGTCTCTATTTCCCAACTCAACAAACATAGACTGCCTAGTTCTTCTCTAGTGCAGACCAGGCTCTTGTACTTGCAGAGTGTCAGAGAACATCCAGTCCACCTTTTTCTCATCTTGTCTGATTCTGCAAAGTCTGCTGACCTCCTCCTGTAGCTTCTTAACTTGGCAATTGAAATCCTCCGTATCTCTGCAGAAAAGCAGAACAACTGCCCCTGGTCTTCATGAGAAGTCTCAGGCATCCCTGCAGCCCCAAAGCTGCAGACCTGTGTCCTCCTTCAGGATCTCAATCTGGATCAATCCTGATATGCCAGGGATAGTTACCCCTGCAGGCACTGTGGACTGTGCCCTGTGGCATTCCCCTTGCTCTGCAGCACGAACACAGCCTTCAGCAAAGTTTCTAGCCCTCTTCTGTGCACATTTCTGCATGCTGCTCAACCTGTTAGCTGCCCAGCAGCTCCAGAGGGCTCCTCTCAGCACCTTCAACAAGAGTGCCTAACCTTACCTAACCAAGAGTCAGCTTAGACAAAAGCTCCAAGCCAGTCAAGGACAGCTAACAGAGCTCCTTAGGAGCTGATGGAGGCTGCTAGAAGTCACAGCCTCTTGCAGCAATCCTCTCCCAGCAGCAGTAAGGCACCCTGACATTCCTTGAAGTGTTCCCAAGAGTCCTCCAGTGATCCCAGAAGTTGTTGCCAGAAGGTCTAGAAGATCCCAAAGCAGAGGCCAGAAACTGATCTGCAAACTGCTGCATTTGGTGGCTGACTTTTGTTAGCTGCACAGTCAAAAATGTATAGAAAAGCTCCTGGAAAAGATAAATTTCTGTGATGCCATTGATTTTCATGCCAAGATCCACACTGATTTCAGAATCAAAGATACAATGAAACCTGATATGATTAAATAAGTGCATATAAAAGCAGCCCCAATATCTGACACATTTAAGGGAATTTTCAACCTTATCACCTTAGACAAAAGATTAAGAAATGCAGCAATAACACAGGAAATTATACCTCTGGGTGTTAAAATAGTTATAATGAAATCAGGTGTCAAAAGTTCCTACTGTTAAGACAGTTTCTCCCTTCATTTTCTTTAGGGGTAATTCTGACTCAAGGAGCTCACCACTCCTGCCAGTTGTTCCTGCCTGTTCCAGCAGGACTGCCTTCGTTCTGGCTGCACACAGGTGTCCCCGAGGCTGGTTACACATCAAAACACTGAAGTGGCTTGGGTTAAAAGGAACCCTGTGGGATGGGGCTATTTTTAACCCAAATCATTTAATCAATTGAGTGTATAATTATGTCAGTACAGCCAAGCTGCTCTGGGAGGCACAAGCCCTAGCAGAACAGGGTGGAGAGGAGGGTTTTGTTAATGAAGAGAAGTTACCTTGAAACTACTACCTTCATTTATGCTTATTTTATTAGAAAACTCTCACTCTTGTTTTACCTGTAGAGTATTCAGTTCAATATCCACCCTGAACTGACTGCAGATCCCTGTGGGTGAAATGCAGAGAAGTGAAGGAGAAAGTGCAGCTGGAAACACTAAGGTGTCCCTTTCTCATGATTCCCCAGTAGAGTCTTCCATGTTCATTCACCGTACGAAAGCTGAGCACCTTTTCACAGTGCTTGCCACATCTACCTTAAGTTAAGAGTGTTTATTATATGATCACATTAATTATACTCATTGTTGATAAAGCACTTAGTGCTCAGGATATATATATAAAGCAACAAAGTTCATTCCCTACTTTTCATTTTGCACCAATTATTTCTGACAAGGAGACATGAGAAGCATTCCCATGAAAGAAGGTTAATCTCCGAGGTCTGCAGGAATGTAACTAAGGAAAAACAAGCCATGGATGTATAATCATTCAAATTAAGTGATAGTGTTTAAAGCAGTTTAATTCAACATCTTAATTAAGGAATCTGCTTAGATGAAAAGAATATGAACTGAAACTGAGGCAGTAAACTGGCACCTAGTTATACCATTGAACAAAAAGAAAGATAGACAGTGCCAGCAAAGTTACACTAACAAATGTCCAAAGGCAACTATGCTAAAATCCTGCAGCCTTACAAACAATACATTTCTGAGCATAAAAACTTATGTCTCAAAGTCAGGGCACCTTTCAGTCTGACAAATGTCACCAGCTCTTATGTTTATTCCAAATCACACCTATATTCCTGCAAGGGATTGTTCAAGTTGTCTGATTAGGATTGAGGCTGGAGACTAAACTGTTTTTTTAAATAGATGCTTTGCATGAGACATCTAACGTAAGCCCATGCAAAGTACAGCATATGGAAGCTGGTTTGTACTGCAGCCAGCTTTGCTCAGAGGTGTTATAAGACAGGTGTTACAGAGGATTTCCTGATCAATTTAGAAATCAAAGGCATGAGAGAGGAGAGAAGGAGAACAGAACTATCCTTTCTGTACTAAACTGAGGGAGAACACACTCAGTCTCCCCTTGATATGCAGAGACACAGGACACCATGCACCTCACTCATATGATGCTAGGATTGTGGAGGATAAGGAGGCAACAAATGTTCAAGACAGCCTGTACCTGTGCAAACCCCCAGGACTGTGGTTCCTGCTGTTGTATAATAATGCTTCTAACATGCTGCATTTCAGAGCTTTCCATACTGAAACACAGCTCTTTGCATCCACTCTCTCCTAGGTGCAAACCACCACCATGTGCATCTCTGTGAGTCTGAGCGGTTTTGTTGTGCTGGGCTGCTTGTTCGCTCCCAAGGTACACATAATCCTCTTCCAGCCCCAGAAGAATGTGGTCACTCACAGACTCCATCTCAACAGGTTCAGTGTCAGTGGGACCGGGACCACTTACTCCCAGTGTAAGTAGCAAAACTTTTTTATAAGTTTGGGTAACGACAAAATTGTTTTTTTACCAGCAACACAAAGACCTTTATAAACTGGGCTGTGTACCCCATGGAAGCATCACTTCATTTGTGTCTGGAGAGAAAAACTCATTTTCCTCCCATGGGAGTCAGCTCAAAGCCTGCTCTGAAGCTCACTGAAGTCAGCAGAAAGCTTTCGGCAGGCTCTGACTCCAGCCCACTGCACAAAGCAAGTAGAACCTGTCGCTTGCTGTCACTTTTGCAGCAACAAGAACAGACTGCCTGGGAGTATTCCTGTCAAAATGACAGACCGACAGCGCCTGGGCCACAATGCAGCTTGGTCTCAATGGCTCTTATCACCCGCATTATAAGGGAAGGCTCCAAGTCTACAGAAAACGTGTACAAGGGATGACATAAATTGTATCTGTATGCGAAGTGTGAGCAATACTCTTTGTAAGCACCACAGACAGCAATCAGTGCTCTGCTGCAAGGACAGCTCATCTGCTCTGCCTCCCTCCTTTCCTTCATCTTCAGTCTCTTCATCCCAAGCAGATTCACATCTGTGATTTTCTTTTGAGTCTTTTGCTCCTCTTCTGGGTGAGTTCCTCAGAGATTTTCTTGGATTTAAAATTTAAAAAAAATAGGTCACCTATATGTGTGTTGTTATTTTTTTTTTTCTTCTTCTCAAGCTTAACTAGTCAAGAATTGGAGCACATAGCACCTTGTTCATAGAGCTCTGCAGACAGCATGTCTAAGCTGGAAAGCTAATTGAAGAGCACACTACAATTATAAAGAAGCAAGAAATAAGAAACAGAGGAAAGGAGGGACACAGGGCAAAGCTTGCCAGCAAGTTCACACAAACATAGCCTCAGGTTTTTGAATATCACCTAAATTTCAAAATTGACTAGAAACTTTTGGCACTTCAGATTTCAGAAAGAATACAGAAGGATCTTGGGACCCTGCTGTGTATCACATTGTCAGGGATTAGGAGATAAATATATCCCAGCCATCCCTGGCTTTCCCTCCCCAAACCATACTGTGTCATGAATGCCCAGGGTCCCTTAACAAGAGAGCAGATGTGGCTGTACTTGTCCCCATCTCATCAGAGTCAGGAATGCATCCAGCCCTGACAACAAAACCCAAAGTCTCCTTACTGTTTTGGAAAATTTAAACCAAGAGTGATGAGATCACCCTAAATGCCCAAAGTGCTGAGCACTCCGCAAAGGGGTGGATTTGCAAGACCATGGATTCCTGATAACATTTACAAGTTTGGTCCCTTGATGAAATGGTAAATCCCATGAGATTATTTTCATCCCTTATGAATTTTGTAGAAGTGGTATTTCCGAGTTTTTTAATTCTCTCATACTACAGAATAAGCATAGTCAGAAACCATTTTGCTTCATGGAGTCTTTTGTACAGGACTACATTTTGGAATTTGATATTTTTAGTATGACAGCTGGATAATACGTGTGTGTGCACAAGCATGCATGAAACTGAAAAACTTCCTCAGTGTGCATCTTTACATTAAAAGTTTACTTTTTCAGGTTTGTGAATAGCTTTAAGACATTAAGGAAAGCATAAAAATCCAGACTTACAATATCTCGCTACTTCTTTGTTTAAAAAGGTGGCCACAGTCATTCGTTTGTCCTGCTTACACCTAGCTGAGTAAGGGCTGATTCTCTTTGTTCTTTTCAGACCATGGCAAGACATGGACCTAGAAGTAGGACTAAAAGTTCCATCACATACAATGGAAAAAGCCCTATATTTTCCATCTAGGACAATTGTTTGCGGAAATACACTTAGAATTCACAGTCTATCATAACGCCAATATTTTTAAGAAAAAAAAAAAAATCCCTTACTCCTTTCATTTATTTGTAAATTATTTTAAAACAATTTTTTTTTTTTTTTTACTGTTTAGTCATTTATAAACCTCCAAAAAGGTTGTCATCCAAAGTGACTAAAATCCATGCTGAAAATATTCCTCCCATCAGTCCCAGGGCTGTCAGCTTGCTTTTATTTTGGTCTTGATGGTGTTTTCATCAGTCAGAAGCTGCTTAATATGAGACTGATCAAATTAACTCCAGGGCATTCTACTAACAGCAACATCTGAAAAGCCAGTTCTTATCCACTGTCAGAGCTTTAGAGAACAGGAGTAATCAAATTGCTCAAATGGGCAGTATATTTCCTATCTCCATGGATTCCCACCTCCGCTGCATCTCAGGGCTGCCAACACCTCTTCACTCCATCAGCCGTTAATGCCATGAGCATAGTGGGTCATGAACAGTGACTCACAGACAGTTTGTAACACAGTTCCTTAACTGTGAAAACTGGCCAAACACTATGAGAAAAGGTAAGTGACACTCGTGATACTCTTGGGTAGAATGAAATGATAGCTCTAAAGATGTATCACAATTACATCCCTAAACTGAGCAGTGGAGGCAGGGCCTGAGTCAATGGTCAACTGCATAAGCTGAAGTGTGGTAGTGAGAGCTAAACTGGGCACCTCATGTAGTCATCTACACAGAGATCCTCATCTTTGCTACGTGCTCTGCAGAAAGCAAGTAGAGGTGAACACTTGATTGCTAAGTGAGGAAAATTGTTTTAGAGGCACCAAGTTTTGATCATTTTGACAGCTGAAGTCTGGATTACAAAAGAATATAGATTTAAACTGGAGAGGCAGGATATGTGTACTTAGGCATATAAAATGTTTTGAAACGTATATATCCATACACATTTATTTGAATCTGAAAATTCACATTTGGCAGAGTGTTGCATAAATTCTGCTTCCCCTGCAGTGTTTCCCCCATAGGAATGTTCCCCAGTTTTCCTGTGGCCTGTTTTTTGGATATTCCCATAAGGTAGGACGTCAGCACTCATAAAACTTCCCAGAGATCTCAGGTCTGATTTAAGCTCCTACATTATTCAGGCTGAGCTTTCACACCCAGAAAATGTCATTCATCAAAGTTATGTCCACATGGAGAGCTGCACACAGATTTGAGCTCTTCCAGGTGTCCTCCATAGGGGTCAGAAAAAGAAGTGAAGCTACTGTTTGTAGCCAGATTGGTAAATTTTGTCTCTCAGAATTTATTTTCCCAGCCCTTGCTCCAAACTATCTCTGATATATGGCTTTTATACGTGATTAACTCACAGGTGTCTGGCTGTGAGCACAAGTAGAGGAGGTGGCACACAGACAGCAAGTTTGAATCTGCCTGTTCCTGACTATGTAGGCATGCTGCAAGGTGCCCACGGCAGTGCTGGGCTTTTGCATTTTAAATCTGGTTCTTTGCCTTAGATTATCTAAGCAAAATGAGGGATGGCTTGGAAAGAGGAGATCAAAAGCATGAACTGCAGCCAAATCGAGACTTCTGGTCATGTCACACATTTGTCCTTGACTTCAACACAAAGCAAAATGGAGGTGTAGTGTCTCTAGCAGATCCAACAATATTTGAGGAAACTCCTTGGCTGCTACTATAAGACACGACATGAAACTCAGAACCTTGAAGGTCCAGCAATTAACATTGCTGAGGTCTGTAAGGAAAAGCAAGTTCTTTTGTTCTGTCTCAGAGAGAACTGGATACTCGTTGTGAACACTTTACTCCACCCAGCAGAGTTAATAACTTCCTCCCAGAACTACAAGAGAGGTAAGTACTGTGGAGGAAGCCTGGGAACTCAAAAGGAAAGGCCACTCATTTTTCACCTACCACCATATTTCTCTGTCCAACTTCGACATCGCCCTGACCCAGTTACGATAGTATTTGAGCTATTCATGCTCTTCAGTGTGTCAGACTCCAAAAAAGCCCTGAAGCTAAAAAAGTTCTGGATGGGTGACTGATGTTCACAAAAACTAAATGCTTTTGCCTGTAGTCATACTTCAGTCTAACAGGGATTTCAATCAGATTTTCTAAGCAGTACTGAGTTTTCAGTCAGCAGTACTGATTGATTTGCCAACAAGAAGTAGAAATAAAAATAACAACAAAAATTAAAATTTCAGGTCAATGTGCTGTCATATTATACACAGTTGATATCTAAATACAAAACCTGATAGTTAATTTTTACAAAATCATAGACATGATGCCTTGTGACCTTTTACCTACAATGACTGCTCTCATCTGTGTGACTCACAACACATATCCAGGTTGCAAGAGGTTAAACTCCATCTTCCTAATTCAAATCAGGGACTCATTCTTGGCTCTCCTGTTTATCAGGAATATGTCCTGCCCTCTGAGGAGTAGGTTAGTTCAATGGGTGCCTCTAAAGTTCTCTTGTTAAATCAGTTCTGTTTTCCATTAAATAGTTATTTAGTCAATGAAAGAATTAGAAACAGTAGCTGATTTGAAGAAGGGACGATTTGTTCTAAAAATGATGCTGAGCATCTTTAAAGATCCAGTCTGCAACTGAGAGTGTAACCAGCACCAGTTTTGGAAGATTGAGCATGCCCTTGTCAGATGCATAAATTGCTTTTTACACTGGATGATTGAGTTTACTAAGTCATTGCTAGCCATGTGTTTTCTTTGATGAAGGCATCACATTTCTCTGGGTCACTGTTATCATTAACCTAATGTATCTTCCAAAAATCAGCTTTATGGTGCCGTGAGCAGAGATGTCACAGAGTATCTGAAAACACATTCCTGATGCCCAATGGATAATTTTAACAAAGATGGACAAACCAGCTTGCTTTTAAATTAAAATCCAGAAGGCTTTAGTAGAATGGTAATATATCCTGCAGTCAAAATACAAATACATTTAGAAACAGATTCTTATACTCAGATTTAATTGTTTTATCACTGAAGCAATGAAAACCCATTGTATAAAATATTAGGCAATGCAGACAAAGGTATCAGAATCTGGCCCTCACCTCTGGATGCATATTGAATCCTGATCCAGAGCTCCTAGAAATGAAGGGTATTATGTCCAGAAAATATTCTGGGATTAGATGAGAAATAATCTTGTTTTCAAATTCAGTTATTAAAAAATGTCTTCACTTCATCCTGCATGTACTTAGAATTCTTACATATTTTTTTAATTAAAAAGTAGATCAACACACAGTCCTAATATGTAGAGGAGGATTCTTTCCTGGATTTAAAAATATATATTTTATTTTAGGACTTATTTTATTATTAGGAAATATATTTTATTTCAGGACTGTCCATTCCAATTATGTGAAAGCTCAAAGGATCAGACCTTAGCATTTCTTGCCAATAAAACAAGAAAAATCCAGAGGTTCACTTTTTATTCTGCAGGGATATCTTAGCACCACTCTAGCTATATTAATTCAGACTACCATGCAAAGTGCTATAAAGTGAGACCCAGCGGCGCAGAATCATCAAAAAAAAATTCATGTATTCTATTCAGACACTTCTTGGGGAAGCTTAGTCACCGTAAGTGCTCAGTGGTCAGCAAAGAGAAATCAGGTTCCTCCAGAAGATGCTTCAGCCTCAGATCTGCAACTGCCTTGTAGAGGTGCAGGCAGTACCTCCATCAGCTCACTGCTGACACAGTCATGTATCATATAACCAAGTGGCGCCTTGGTTAAATTGGGTGAGATGGTCCAAATCAACATAAATTCTAATCCTGTGTGTTGTAATTTTTTGTGGCCCCGAAGTCAGTTGATTTTCCCATCTCTTTCTCTTTCAGCATCTGCTAGTATGTATGTACCGACTGTCTGCAATGGAAGGGAAGTTCTGGACTCCACCACTTCATCTCTGTGATTGTGACTTGCAGTTCAGTTCTTGAGTTTTTAGACTGTTAGGCAAAATTTTGCACATGTTGTGCACTCCGGAAAACACCAGAAAACAAAAGAAATCAACACAAAATTAGTACCTTTTTTTAGAAACAGTGTAATAAATTATTTTTGAGGATTGTACAGTATATAGTGATGTTCTGGAACTTTTTAGACTGATTTTAGCCCTTCTGTTGTTAATGGTCATAAGGGACATGTAAATAACCATGGTTCACAATGTGCATAGTCCTGCAGTAAGGGAGTGATTTGTTGCAAGCACAGTTGCAATGTTTGGTGACTTCTTTCCTATGAAATTTTTTTGTAGCCTTGTTGTAATTAACTTAGACTGCATTTCTATGTTGTATATTACAGTTACCTTATGTGTAACAGCTTGGTTTTCTCAGCACAATACAGCAGTATTAATGTAAAGGCACCAATAATAAAAAGATAAAAGATTTTCAGCATGGTTTCATTTTTGTTTCTTCCTCCCTCAAGGTCATTACATTTCTCTAGACAACAGGGTAGGTAAAAAGGATAAAAAGTCTGCAGTACTAGTGTGTACAAACACATATCTATGTATGGGTCTGTGCCTGTGTTACAAAATCCAAATCACATAAATGCTTATGATGAACCTTTTTGTCAGGGTCAAGTATAAATTCCCTCCCCTTAAAAAAAATGCATATTATTAAAGCATCTCAAGTGCTCTTTTGTTATTAAAATGTAGGGCAATTTTCAAAAGTGAAAATGTTTAATTTCATCTCAATGAGATATTAACAAAAAAATTTTGATCACTGGCTCACTCATTTGGCATAATTTAATGCTGTCATGAACACAATAAATTGGTAGCATATTAAAAAAAAAAAAAAAAAGAGAGATTTTAGATTAGGTTGGCAAAAGATGGAATCAAATCTGTCAGAAAATTAGCTAAAACTGTTTTATACCTCCAGCCAAAACAAAGCTGGTTCAGTTTGTCTACATCAACAGTGCTGTGAAAGGTAATTGGAACACCACAGAAATTAAGACAAAAAAAACCTCAAAAAAATAGAAATCCAAGAGACATTTACACATGTCTCTGGGGTGACCTTTGCATTCAAACCAAAGGGTTCAAGACACACATACCAGCTACTTAGACAATTGCAAAATACTTTTAAAGCCTGGCTTTTGTTACTGCACTCTTAAAGCTGCCATCACTCTATTGAAACAACCTGAAATCCTCCCTTCTGCTGGGTCCAAAAAGTCATTAAGGAAACAAACACACCTTTGATTAATGTGTCTGGGCATATTTACCTAAGGGCTTGTTCCTGTTGATCTCATTCCAGCTGAAGTCAATAGCAAAATTCTCACTGACTTCAAAGGCAACACCATTGAGGCTTGAAAGGCAGACATTATAGATACATACTGTTGGATGTACAAGTTCTCTGGAGCCCAGTTCTGCACTTGCAGATGTTTTTACACATTTCTGGAAAGGTGTGAGTACTTATGGCTAAACTGGCAAATGAATTAGCTGTTATTTTGAATGCAAAAATTCAAAATGCATGTTCTTAAATTTCCTACTCACAGATGCCTATTTTTCTGGACATCCACATGTCCACCATCAAAGACATCTTGATGTCAACACTTCTATGACTGGCTCCACAGACAGCCATTTAAGCCACTGCATCACGGAGGTGATAATACAGAAATTCCTGTGACTTTCCCCAAAATAGACATTGCTCAGCCCACATTACATGCAAAGGTCTACATTCAGCTTCTTTCTCTCCACAAGCTCTAGAGTGCCTAAAGTTTCAGGCTTGGTTCTGACCTTGATGCACAGCAAAGGGGACAAGTTTTGACAGGTTTGAGTCTTGCCTTCTAAATCAAGACCCCTTAAAGCATCTCAAGTTGGGCTGCTACATTCATTTGACTTTTGTATGCTCTTTTGTTGATTAAGAGGCTGTTCACAGTATAGTAAAAGGTCAGAATGTCTGACCATAATGCTAATGTCCCTGCATCTACATTATCTTTCTGGAGATCTTAAAATGCCTCCAGCCAGTGAGAATTTCTTCTCAGTTTTTATGGAAAGCAACAATAAGGGTCATATCCACCTAACCTAACATTCATTGTCTACAGTATAAATAGCTACATATGAGATTTTCAACACCTTCTCCCTTTGTACTCAGTGGAGGGAATTAGGCACAATTCCCCTGGTTTATCTCAGACTGCTAATTTAGGATGAGATGAATCTCTCCAAATAAAGTCTCACACATCTTGCTCAGATCACAAAGTTTGCACCGAAAATAAAAGCATTGTGTCAGATGAATTCCAACCCTAAATCTAAATTGGCATCACTGAAGCTAATTTATAGCAGGTGAGGATCCTACTGTCCCAGAGTTTTCATTTATTTTTATAGCACTATTGAGAAAATGACCCAACATCTGTGTCTGAACATGTTACAAATACTTAGGTGTTTTGAAAGCCACTTGCATATCAGTTTTTCACACAAAAAAAAACAACACGTGGAGGTCTGCAGTTCCAGCCCCACTGAATGTTCCCAACAGTCTCGTACTTTACTTGATTTTGTCTTGAAAGCTTTTCACTACTTTCCATTGGATATCCAGGGATACAGATTATCTGGTATTTCCTGGTGATTCAAGTAATCCAGTTTCAAAACACAACAAAACAAAAAAGGAAAATGTCAAAGTCTGTCAGAAGCTTTGCACACCATACTGGCACTAAAATCTCTTCAGAAAGGGATATATCTTTTTTTTTTTTTTTTTTTTTTTTTTTTTTTTGCTGTTTTCTCACATCATCATTTTATTTTCTCTACTTAAAACAGTTTACAGTTTTTGTTCCCATTTGTGCCAAAGTTGGCTTTAGAGTATAAACCTCTTCTGGTCTCTTTAATTGCTCCCATCATATATGTAGATTTGAGGAATACACATCAAAGCACAGTAGGTTCTGTCACGTTTGCTTGCATGGTGCAGGGGAGCCCCAGGTACCTTGGTTGTGAGCCCAAAGAGTCAGCACACTGCTCTGAGCCCTGCACACAGCCAACCAGGGGGAAATGCTGGGGACGAGAGTAAGGCTTAACCCAGCATCTATGGTGCCTTACCGGAGGTTGCAGAAAAGTTCAGTTTTTCATTCAGAAGATGGAATTCCAGAACACCTTAGCTCTCTGATACAAATCAAGACTGCAGAGAGATTTCTGAAAAACTGATGACTTTTTATTTATTGGCTGAGCAGGAAAATAAGTCTCAAAAAAATCATTGCAGGTCAATCTGAAGTAAACAAGGTTTGGGGGGTTTTTTGTCTTTGTTCTTGGTTTTGTTGTTGGTTTTGTTTGCATTTTTTTGTAGGAGAGGTGTTTATTTTTTAAATATTGAGTGAAGTTTGAAAGCAAAATCAAAATCTACTGTGGTAAACCAAAACATTTTATTTTGTCTTCAAGTGATTGTTTTTCCTGCATTACTTGAACACAACTGGTTTCAGTCATAGCCAAAGAAATTTCAAAATGAATTGTCCTTATAAATTGAAAATTTATCAAAATCTATTTAAAAAATATCATCTTCTACCTGAAAACCCCAGAAATCTGAGAAAAATGTCCAAAATATCCTGGCACCACCCACAAATCTCCACACTGGTCAAAGAGGCTTCCACTGCAATCTTTCATCCAGTTAGTACACTCAGAGTAAGGGGGGGCAAAACAAACCCTTAACTCATCACCAGACACAGTCTGATGTCCATGATGTCATTGCCTATTCACTTATGTTTGTAGTCTTCAAGACGAAAGGCAGAAGCTGTTTATCCAGAGTCACCTCAAATCTCAGCAACACAGGCAAAGCTGAGTTTTGTCACTGCAAGAAGAAAAGAAGCCAAGTCCAGGCTGGGATGTTTTTGCCATATGAAGGGGATGGGTAGGACGCAAAGGCTGGGGAGAGACCTGGAGTGCTAATCTTCTTCACTTCTCCTGCCTCTAAGGAAATGGCAAGGTCAGGAAGGGGCCTCTCTCTCCCCAGCAGTGCCACTTCCCTACACACACCTACTCCTCCTTTAGAGGCAATAATGGCAAGACAGATAAGGACTTCACCACTGCCTACAACCAGCTGGAAAATAGAGCGTGTTACCCCTAAAGAGAGTGACTTTCGAGTACATTGCCATTTTAAATATGAAAGGAGGGAAGGACAGGAATAGGCTGTATATAACACCAAAATTCTCAGAGGTCACTCCTGCATGTCTTTTATTCAAGCAAACACACATTCACACAACCTCACTTTGACTTTTAGGTGCTGTTAGAGCACCAGCCTCACAGTACACAGGACCTTAGAGTTTTCTTCCTAATGAGGTACAACTCTATACATCCAGAGAAATAATCAAAACACAGTGGCAGCTTACGATCAACTCAATTCTCATGTCTCCCTCATTCGTGCTTCATGTATTCAGTGTGGGCACATCCAACCAGGTGACCGGGGATGCCACCATACGTTGTGACACACTGTATATTTTAGGATGAGCCTGACCTCCTTTTATTTTTGTTCATATCTCCTTACATGCTTTCCAAAGAAGCACAGTTCCCAAACATTCAAAAGCAGCAAGAAATAAAACCAAGGGTATTCAGTGAAAGAAGTATATAAGGGAAAGACTAAGAGAGAACACCACCAAAGATAAGCAGACCTTCCCAAGATTTCTCTTGAGGCTATCATTCACTGTTACATTACCTAGAATAGGTATTTAGGGCCTCTATGCTTCATGATTTGGACCAACCAGCAGCATTCCTTGCTTAGGAAGAAATGTCATTCCCATTGGCGTATCAAGAACCAGTTGTAGCTGCTTTTACTCGAACATTGAAGGACTTGTGTTGGCCACTACTGAAGATGAGTCAACAACCACTGGCTCCTAAATGGCAACATCTGCTGCTATTTTGTCTGATTATAATTAAGTATCTCAATTTTATGGGCACTACTGGTTCTGGCAGGACAGACAAACAAAAAACTGAAGACTTTCTCCTTTACTAATGAAGAGTCCCAGAACCTCTTTTTCAAGAGCAAATAGTTAAATCCTTTCTTTGAACAAAGACAACAGCTCCTTGAAGCTACTCAGTAACTTCCCATTGTGGCTCTAGGACACTTAAATTTTTCCAAAATCTAAACTCTTAATCAATCGTATTATATATTACTAACATCAAGCAGCATATTCAGAGCCAAGATAGAATACATTCTCTGCACATTTCCCCACTAGCAAGCACTGTTAAAGCTGAGACAATAACATTGTGCTAATTTGCCAATAATTTATACAGAGACACCACTAAAGTGTGCTTAATCCTCAAAGAGATTCAGTTGCTTGACTCCAAATTTCAAAGAAAAGCATGCAAATGCAGCAATAAAATGCATTCCGTTTAATCAAGTGAACACATAACAGACTGATTCACATTGTTTTATGGCATCACAGTTTCTGATGTGATTCCATGTGGGAGAAAAGGGGGAGGTCGTTGTAAGTATGTTTTGGCAGAGTACTAGAAGAGGTCACAGACAGCTGATTTCTTAATGAAGTGTTAAAAGCTTCCAAAATTTTCCTCTTATGGGAAAAAAAAGAAACTTCCCCTCTCTACTATTTCTTTAACAGAAAGAAAAAAAACAGCAGAAGTCAGCTAAAATATGTCAGTTTTAACTTGCTTAATCATTGGAAAATGCAATTTTCTTATTTTAAGGTAAATAAAGTCTACAGTATTGGTTTGTATCCCACTACACTAGCATTACACCAGATATACTATTAGATTGCTTGGAAGAATTTTCAATGATATCATGACAAAACATTTGGAAGCAGAGCTGAGAAGGGTCATACAGCAAAGACTGTCAGAGCTGACAAAAAATTTCCACTCTACTTTATTTGAAAAATAAAAGGGAAAGAGAAGGGAACCAAGCAAACCTTCTGTGGTATTAAGTCAAATTAAATATAGACCAAAAAATTAAGGCATTTTGACATTTCAGAGATATGGGTCCAGTGATGAAAGAAGAAATTATGTTCTGGACAACGAAATGCAATTATGGCTTGGAAAACATATGGAGGGAGAAGGGAAAAAGTTAGAGATGTAGGCAGATGCAATTTGATGGCAGTGAAAAGGTCTAGCCACCATTGCAGACCTGCAATGTTCAGGAAAGGCTGCTGTTCCACCAAACATCTGAAGTCCAAAATTTCAAATATATTTTCACTTTATTTTATGAATGCCCATCAGATATATATCTTTGATGCTACAGCACACTGGTTGAATAAAAATCAACAACATAAAAACCCTCTTCATAAAAGATCCAAGAAGTGAAATCCCAAATCCATATCCATTTACTCTGTGAGCATATATCATCTTTGACAACCATATATAAATGACATCATGACAACAAATACAATGTACAATTATAAGTGTGCAATGGTACAAAATATACAAAAATGAATGTGTATTTAATATACATTCAACAATACCCCATAAAAATCTTTGTTGAGAAAGTGAAGTGCTTTTTCAAGAACAACAAAAAATATACACCACTTCAGTTAAGATGCCTGAAGTATCTCCCATCAAAAGAGTAAAGTCTGTGTTCTTTGACTGGAGATATAAAATAACTGAGCTGAATTTTCCCTAAAGGAAAAAAAAAAATCTAAACTTCATAAAATTTTTGTCCGCATCTGTAGTATAATAAAATATTTAGAATGCAGAAAATTCGATTTAAATTTTACTTAAAAGTGGGCCCTCTTTTATTGATAGATCTAGCTCAGTCATATAAAATCAAAAATCTGTATTCCTTATAGCAAAATGACCATTACTGCCCATGTGTCTTTTCTGGATTTAATGCATTCCACAACTCATATAATTTTGCTATAATAGAAATATGAGTCTGACCAGAGGTCAATACAAGAATCATTCCTCATTTTCTCCTGGCTCTATAGAAGTCTTGCATAATATTACTCATGTATTTTTTGCCTATGTTTCAGATTCCTTTGAGTTTGAACTCAATGGGAATTTCAGGAAATTATTACAATGGATATGAAGATCACATGCTTATAATATGACTGATTTCATGAAAAAGTGCACCTAGCCTTCAGTTTCCAAGGCAACATTTTGTGCCCTTCTTCCAAAGCAGGTACTCGCATTGACAGCAGAAAGCATATGATGCTGAGCTGCACAAGTACGTAACCCATGCTCAGTTCTGCTGGGCATCCATCCTCATTCCTTGCATGGGTCCAGGAATAAAGGTGGCAAAGCATTCTTAATAAGCCTCTCAAATGACAAAGCCGATCCCTGATTTCCAGAAGTAGATATTCTTGCTTTACCTCCAGAGTTCAGGCTTTGTTGGTTTGCAACCCAGGGAAGGTGACATATTGGCAGCCCAAGGAAGGATACTGAAACTGCCACTGACCTCTCTTGAAAGGACAAGCTTCCACAGAGAGGGACAAGTGCAACTTGCACTGTAGGTATCACTTTCCTTCTCCCTATAGAGTTTGAGCCTGTTACTGCCTATAAACTCATGGGCCCAGACTTACAATTCATACAACAGCAGTTAACACATTTAAATTTAACAGCACCAGGTTTTATCCCAACTCTGATGGCCATGACTTAGGCATCAGAATGGGTTCAACTTGCAGGTGCAACACCATGCCTCTTGTATTAGAGACAGACACAGACCATCCAGCCCTTCAGAGCATTAAAATAAAAAGGATTTTCCAAAGTTCAAAACTCACCTGAGGCTCATTCCAAGTACCATTCACAATTTTGATTGTAAGAGAGACTCATAGTTATTCTACTAAAGGACAATACACAAACTTTGCAGGATGTTTCAGGCCTCTCTGATAAATCATTTCTTATGAATATGTGTAGAAGGAGTGATAGGAAATGAAAGGTACCTATAAATCATATGGCATGCCTGAGCAATGCCCAGGTGAATGAAAAAATTCATGTTATTTGCAGTATGTATATCTCTTCCTGAGTTGAATTTCATTCCCAGTATGGAATCTAAGCATCTGCTTTCTTTTTTGGCAAGGTACTCAATCACATGGTAAGGCAATCCAATTTTCTGGTTTGCTTCCTGTCTTCTTTCCTTCTAAATGGCCAAGCATTTCTCACCAAGATCACCACTACAATGTGTGCCAGAATATGTTTAAAATATGGTCCTGTAAAAATAGAAATTAGGTTTGTTTCTGTGAAGGCAGCATTAATTCTTCATATATTCTGGGATCTTGAAGATTTCAGCTGAACAGATTCAAAATGATCTTCCTTTTCCTGCAATGGAAAAGACAGGTTCCCATCAACTGGTATCCATCAAATTCACTCCAACAATTGCTACAGTCACTTCTTCTCTTAATATCTCCAGAACAGCCTTTGCCAAAGATTTCACATTATTTCTACCACAGTCACTGAGTGCAGTTTGACCCTTTATTATTTAATAACACTACTAATTCTGAAAAAAATTATGCCATGTATATTGTTCATGGTACTTACTTGAGAGGGTAGAGGGAAAGTTTGCATTTCATACTCATATTATAGGACAGGTAATTAGAGCTGAGGAATTGCAAAATAATCATATCTATGGTTATTAATACCTATTAATGTGTTTCCTACAATAAATAACATGTTTGGAGCACAGTCTGTGAACATGAACACCACTGCCTCACTCCAGGATTCCTATCCCAACTCCTCCTCTGGGAGACACACAGGACAAAAAGAGTCTGCAAATCCTCTGCCATCTTCAAAATCAGGGCTGGAGGGTTGAGTTTTATTTCTGTTTTTATTTGTTGGGTGTCAGCCTAGACCCTCTGGCCAGCAGGCATCAGAGTGAGAAGTGTGGATGTATGCATTACTGTGTGTGTGAACAACTCAATGGTCCATGCAGAACCAATGGATGAAGAAGCCCTAATGAAACTAGTCACTAGAAAATGCTGGTTCTTGCTTTGTGTGCCTACCTTTTATACTTGTTGATGTACACAAACAGTTTGGAAACTATATTAAACCAATCTGATGATCTGATCTTTAAAGACATCTCACTCAGATCATGACAGCCTAGTGCAGATGTGAGAAAGAGCAGGGGAGAAAATTGTCCTACGCTTGCCTACTGCAGAGTATATATTACTTGTTTTAATAGACCTGGTATTGTTATGCTGGAGACATAGATAGAAGAGATAGAACAGGAGACAGACAGACCCAGAATAGCCTCCAATATGAAGCAGTTTCATAATTCTTTAACTTCTATATTCTCATTAAAAATAACAATTATTTCTTTCTATATTACAGACCAAGCCCTGAATTCCTTGGGTACTCAAAACCACTAATAGCTTCATGAGATGTTTTGCTTCATAGAAATGCCATTGCCTGAAGCTTGAACATATAGTTAGGATATTTCAGATTTTTCTTTATCTCTTAGTTTACATTTCTCCTCTTTTTCTCCCGTTTTCTTTCACATATTTTTTCTGCATTTACATGCATATGGAGCAGGAGATGAATTTCCTGATCTTTTGCATAAATGAAAACTGATGCCTATAACATTTGTTTTGGAGAAATATATATTAAATTCCAGTTATCTGCAGGGATACAGGACACAGATTTCAGTAAGCTAATGAGGTACTGGAAGCTGAGTTTGCCAGCTATGATTATCTAGCAGGAAAAAAGGAACCAGCTTAGAAATATCTGACAGACTTGTTTGAAAAGGAATACTCAGTGAGCCTGCTATAATGGATATAGGAACTTTAAAAAGCTCTTTTTGAGTCCAAATAGGCATTCAAGTGGTCTGAATACTAAAGTACTAAAGCTTACTTTAAAGAGAAAAAAAAATACTTTTCTCCCACGCTCTTGTCTCTATACTTCTAATCAGGAAGGAGCCAGTTGTTCATGCTGCAAATGGAGTCAGCAACGCTTTTACACTTATCAGGCATACAGCAAAAAATGACTCTCACCAGCAGCTATGGTCATTACACTCAGCCATATCCAGCCAAGCCATTTCATGGACAAAAAAAACATCATCAGTATTTCAAAGTCAGTCCCTATAGAATTCAAAATGGGATCAAATTCCATTTTTGCAACACCACCACAAAATTTGATGTGATTTGATTTTATTTACATTTTCAATATTGAATTAAGAATTAATATTGAATTTCTGCCCCTTTTCATAAGGAACAATATTGATTTTGCAAGACAAATAGTCAGGCTGGGGTCAAAGGGAAGTTCTGCACATTAGTTGTGTAATGGTAACTTCTAGGAGGGAGTTATGGGGAGCAGGTAACATGGAAAGAGGACAGCAGTCTAACAAAAAAAGTGAAAGAACAAAGAGAAGAGAAAAATAAGGGAAAAGAAAAGATGCACACAGGTTTTAATTACATTTCACTCAATCACAGAAAGAATAAAAAATTAATGAAAGAAAAAATCTTAAAATTCAACGTTCTGAAATATTATTTGGACAGGAAAGAAGAGTGTGACTTTTAAAAATAAATTTTTACTATGATCTTTCAAGAAAACTTCCTATTTTGAAACAACCCACCTCAACAAAACTGTTTGAAAGGGAAAATGTCATCCACCTTTATCCTGACCATAATGGATGCCCCAGCTGTAGTCCCTTAAAGACAACACTACCCTTCCCACAGACTTCAAGGCATTTGGAATAAAGACCAAAGTGCTTACAGGATCTACCATGATGGTCCTCTGTTGCTCTGCTCGGAAATGTTCAAAGGACTCCAAAGACCTTTGTGCTATGAATTCAGATGCACACCAACCCAAATCACATGTGCTGCAGAAAAAAGTGCTTTCTGCTGTTGCTTCCCACTGAAATGGAGGAGGTTGCTGTATTGGGTAACAGACTGTGGCTGATCCCCCTCTTCAACTGAATTCTATAATACTCAAAAATATGGTTCTCAAGTCAGCCATGAAGCCAGCCCAGGTGAACTTCAAGCAGCTGTCTGGCGGCTGTTCCCAATGTTAATTTTCTGCATCTACAACTGGTTTTGCCTCAGCAATGGAGGTGTCTGGTAGGAATTCAGGCAAAGAGGTTCCTCACACCACTAACTGCTCTTTTTAGGTATCACCCATACAATAAAGAACACTACTGAAATCTCTCTGCAGAAAAGAGCATTTTCTCAATACCCTGCAACACTTCTTATCATTATCCATACTGTGGATTTCAGCAGATTGACTATGGACTGGGTGAAGTGTGTGTGGGAGGTGGCACAAAACACTGTGCAAATTACCATCACAGACTCATTGCATCCAGTAATAAATAAAGGTAATAATTATTTTTAGTATTAATAGCAGTAATTACTACTCACCTTCGTTGCCAAGGACTTCAGCTTCCCCAGCAGTGACTGCTTATTTGAATATACTATTTCTTCTTCATTATCTTCTCCTTCCATTATAGCACAGCTGTCAGCAGCTGGTAGCTCACACTCTTTTGAGTTTGCTGTCATCACTAATTTGGAATATTTATACTCCAGCCTGAAGATATAAAGCCAGACAGGCACAGATTTTTTTTTTTACAAATGTCCCACATTTAATGTTTTTGTAATTTAGATTATCTGCAATACTTCCACATAGTTATTTCTGATGTATTTACTGGAAATTAGATACTTTTCAATCATTAAAAATGTGTAACCAAAATAATATTAACCATACATTTTGCTCCTGCTCTCCAGATTAGTCCTCTATCTGTATAAAAGATCCACGTTTTCCCAAAAGACCACAAGTAGGTCGAGAAAATTTCCTGCATGAAGAAGTGCAACCTGTGTGCTTGTTGGGGCAACAGCAGGTCTGGCTTCAGCCTATATCAGAATCTCCATCACACTCCTGTCCAAGGAGGCTATGGGGGAGATGAAATACGTGTAATAGTGTGTGGCAGGAGGCAGCAGGAGGTGGGGACCATGGTACTGGAGTCTGGATGTGGTGAAGCTGGCTGTGCTATGAGGTGATGAAATTCATGCAGGTGGAATCATATTTCAAAAGTTTATGGCACGAAACATGGGAAGCAGAGGACAATGAGGATGAGGAGCTGTCAGCATGTTCAGTCTGATAAACAGGGATCTCTTCCGTATGCACCAGACATGTCCTGCCAAAAGAGACCTAAGCGATACACAGTCAAGAACTATATTTTAACCCATCCAAAAGGGACTAATTAGATTGAAGAGATATCCTTTTGGTCTTCAGACCTTGAGAAAGCTGTGTTGTTTCAGGACCTAAAGTCAACTTCAAACTCTTGGGGGTTAAAAAGACAGTTCCTTTGGGGAAATTATGCCCTAACAAATTACTGTAGATTTTCTATACTTTCCTCACTAGCATTTTTGATAGCCACTGTTGGCAGAAGAAAACTTAACTTGGTGGCTTAACAGACCGATCCAACATGGTATTTCTCATCAACATTGTCACAAGGTCAGATCCGTGAAACGTCTTTCTGTTCACTACATCAAGCTTTTAGCTTAGTTTTACATGGAACAAAATTTGCAGTACTTACTTCTGGTTCTTCTTCCAAAAATAGCAGGTCAAGGCTATGAGCAGAACAGCTGTGAAAGCACCAACACCAGCTCCAACTTTTAGCCAAAAATCCACAGTTTCACAAGTGCTGGTCCTTTTTCCTGGCAAGGGAACCCCTTTAATGCAATGCTTTGGCTCATTCCATACATACAAGGTTTCCTTTCAGACAGAAAACACCAAATAGTGAGGTGCTTGTGGGAAAAGAGAGAGTTATTTAGACTTGAAGTAAACAAGCTGTTTTGAGGTAGAAAGATTAGACATCTTTTCAATTAAAGAAAATCAAACCGTACTTCAGGTTTTCAGACTCTAAGTAGAGTCATATTGTCTACTCAGCTGCCCCTTGATTGTGCCTGCAGGTTTAGGCATGGCAAAAGGATTTCCTCTTCCATATTGTTCTTCACCTGGCATAGTATGGTTTGGGCAGCGATTATGAATGTGTCATGCCTGTATCGGAGCTGTTGATCAACAGGACAGTTCTGAAGCTGTGAAAGGACTTCCTAATATTTGACTAGAGAAGGCATCAGAAGAAATTTACAAGCAAGGATGGATGAATTTTTGAACTGAAATTCTGAATCCTTTCCTAGCCCGCCCCTGATGTTCATGGGTAATAAAAGATTGAAGTCCTTTGGGCACTACATCCTTCACAAATAATTTGCCTGCATGTATGAATGCACACAGAGTTCACATCCCTACCCACATAGGCGGTCAGCACAAGCCAGCTCTCCTTGAGGAACCACTCTGCCGTTGGCATAAATATCCCTGAGCCTCAACAGAGCATCTCATCAATAAGACTTGCACCCAGCCAACTCAGAGCCTGGGCTGAGATTTCCCAACTCCACCTGCACTTACATATCGATTTGCACACCAAATTTCAGCGAAGTCCAAGTTTTACCCAAATCAATCCATCTGACTTGGACACATGGGTCCTGTACCTGAAATCCTTTTTTGCAGGCTCCCTCAATCTCATGGTAGTCTTGCTCTGTGCAGAGAGGGCAAGCTTCTGCACTTTCCCATACAAAGTAGAAAATGCATCCATCACAGGTGCCTGCAGGGCATGAGCTAGGAGAAAAGCAAAGGTTAGTTATCACCTATGAAACATTCTGGGGTTTGCATCCTCCCTCCACATTCTGCTGCTGAAGATTGGTAATGGTAAGTACAACAAATGGGTAAATATCCATCAAGTCAGCAAATGGAAAAATCTGGGGGAATAATCTTTCCTGATTAGTAAAATGCTTTTTCAAGTGAAAACAGATGTCGGACTGTCAAAGGTCTAAAATAACATTTCAGTTCCTGGCAGTGACTGCTACTCATGCACCTACAATGAAGAGAAGAGAAAGAACCAAATCTTGGAGACCAGCAGAACTACTCCAGCATTTCAGCAGCACAGGCTAGGCCAGCAAGCACCTCTATTGCTGCTCTCCTGCACTGGGTGACTGTTCCACATGAATGCTGCTATCTGGTTCCTGCTGTTGTTCTAATGATGTCTGGGTGATTTCATCCATATGGAATGGACTTGTCCTGTCATGGTTAATTACTATAAGGATGTTCACCAGTTAATGAAGAGATAACAGCTTTTCCTAGTCTAAGAAAGACTAATAACCCTGTTTTGTATTCAGCCTGCAGAAGAAAGTTGCATTGGCAATGGCAGGACATTCACGCAGCTTTTGTTACTGACAATTACATCAGGTCTAACAGCAGTGGCCAAAAGTCCACACGAGAAGCATGTAAATGTAAAATATATCCATACTGAAAAATGGATTTTTTTTTTTTTTTTTTCTATATCATCTGGAAAACTGTCATCCTGATCTGAAGGACTGAAAAATCCACAGCCCTAAAAGCCCATTCTGGCTTATCCTGATTTGAATAACTGACAACTGTTCTCTCTGGATTGTGGAACATGTTTTCAATGTACATGGCCAAAACATTGACAGACCTTTCTCCTCAAACCTCTTCATTTTATAGTGTAACTTCACATGATACTAAAAAACATGTCTGGAGGATCAAGGAGTTACAGTAATACAGCAGTATTTTTTGACATGCATCAGATACCTCACTGTTTGAAAATAGCTGTCTGACTGCTGAGCTAATAGAAGGGAGCTTGGAAGGGAATAGTCAAAAAAAACTGAGATAAGGTACATCAAGTCAGCTGTGTGCCATTTCTGCCCATGCTCACACTTTTAAAAGCAATGTAGGTTTCTCCTCCCTCACTACTGGTACGTTATCACAGCTTATATCGTGTTTAAATTACAGCACTAGAAGGACACCTGGAGGATTTTCACACAGCAGCTGATAGATAGTGACTTATTACCCAGCATAATTTGTAGTGTCCCAGGTCCCTAAGAAACTGGGGTAAACATCTCCAAAATATGTTCAAATATCAGTCACTCATCCATCACCTGTGAAGCAGATGCCTCTTTGCCTTTATTCAAGTGAGCATGGTTCACCTGTCCCAGAAGAGGGACAGGGCTCAAAGAGGATCCCACACTTCTCACACTGTTAGCTTTTGGGAAGAGGACTTAATTTTTGGTAAGGAGGATGAGTGAGAGGGCTATCAGCAGATTTATAGTAATGTCCAGACAGACTAAGATGGGCCTTTGCAGCCAAATAGAAAGGTTATCAGAGCTGAGAGGAATTTCTGAAGAATCACAGGGTGTTGCTAAAGAGTAATAGAATTAATTCTTTTACTGTTTTTTCTCTGCAACTTTTCAGGTGCAGGCATAAACAGGACTTTGGAAGAAAGAAGCTTTTTGGAGTCACTTGAGTCAGAGTGAAGGGGGAAAAAAGGTCAGGCAAATTAAACACAACTGGTACAAGGGGTCCAGAATACAAACTGGAGTGATGAGACGCATAAATAAATACATATAGAACTTGAACTAGACAGAGTCAGGGCTCACATAAACTTTGTAATAGCAAATCTCATATTTCCTAGGACAGAATGCTCTTTTTCAAATAAAATCACTTTGTCCACAGCCACTGCTATAGATCAAAGAAGAAAAACTACCTCTCAAATCCCCAACTAGGCAATTCCAATCAGAAGGCCAAAGATCAAAACAAGGAACTGAAATAAAGAAGAAGTGGAGACAAGAAAACATCGCTACGTTTTCTTTTGGATTTAAGCTTGGAACAACCTGCCTTAGCTCTAACTTCTCTCAGTGCACAGCCCAAATACAGAGCAGTTAGTCTGCTGAGAGGTGAGGGACACACGTGTACTTCATCTAGGAGAAACGAGTGAGACCTCTTGAGTGGATGATGAGGGAGACAGCACTCTTCTTGCTGTTAAGTATAAAATCACTAATGAGTTTTGTAAAACCTACCTGACAAGAAAAGGCTTTTTGGCACTACTAGGACACATTTACTTAAATACCTGGGCACAGAAAGCTCTCCTTGGTCTGGTTTGTTGGGGTTGCATCTCATTGTCACAACAGTTGCACGGCCATTTTCACAAGAGGTTGTCACTGTTGAAGACCTGATATCAAAGAAGAGGAGAAATGTAATATGTTTCCACTACTATAAATACATGTTGCTCTTTCATAGGTTTCTGTCCATTCATGCAACTGTGACACTAAAGAAATACCCTTTACCACAGCACTTTTGCCTTTGTCGGCTGGAAATAAAAGAAGGAGCAATAGAAGCAGGGTAGGTTTCACCACTTCATTTAAATCTCAAAGTGCTCTGAGATGCCACTCAGGGAACAGCTCTGTTTTTCTAGCTACTTTTAATTCTGCCAAGTCAAGGAATAAACTTGCCCACAAAACAGAATACAATGATTAAAAAAGAGAATCATAGGAGCTGTGATTGGTGTGTTACTCCGATGGAGAGTTTATGATGGCTCTCTACTTGCCTAGTAACCTGAGAACCATACTGTCCTGAAATAGCACAAGACAAAGCGGATTCAAAAAATGGAACTTATTCCAATGTGATGGACATTATAAGACAAGTTCCTGATGAACTTTCTATAAAATAGGAACAGTGGTGTGGGGTTCAGTTTGCAGAATCAAGACACATAATTTAAATATTCATATATGCATAAAGTGTTAATATTCAAAGTGCTATAGACAGTTAAGGTCTATCACTAAATCCACCATAATGTAGAGAGCCAATCAGTAGAACAAATATAAGTATGCGCCTTAAAATAAGCTGAATAGCCCCACGGGATCCAGAGTCCAAGCTTAGAAACCCAGTTCACATGAAGACACCAACATGTAGACATCTTAATTGATGTGATCTTTGAGCTGATTCCTACCCAAGCTGAGGTATTCTTTTTATGGAGGAAAGCGATGAAGAGTAAAAGCACACTACTAACTATGCAGGTTGGAACAATTACTTTTAACTTGGGTTAGTTCAGTCTTGTGCCATCAAAGTAAATAAAAATGAATGTGAAAGAAAATATGCAATGGGAAGTGGACATATCAAAGCCATATATGAGAAATTATGGAAAGGAACATGACACTGGAAGTGCCACCTGGATGAATCAAAGCTCTGCTTTCACTCTACAGATCAAATGTAATTTAGATTTGAGAAAACAGTGTTTACTGAGTTCATAAGATGTTCTTCAACATGCCAATCAATATCAGCCAGGTACCGATTAAAGTGATAAAGATTAAAGGTGGATTAAAGATCTCCCCTTTCTAAAGAAAATTTTACTTTCTTTAAAAAAATGAAGAAATTTGACATACCAATAAACATTATTTTTTACCTACTTGTAAAAGAAATGCACATCAGGTATTTTGCTTGGAGAGGGAGGAAATATATCTGTCTTGATGCTGATATTTTCCAGCATTGTTTCAACAGTAGCTCCTAAAATTTGAGAAGAAAAAAAAAAAAAAAAAAAAAGGAACAAGCTAAGAATGGATTTCTGAGGGGTTCACATGTAACATTTGCTCAGTCTGAAAGGTATGGGTCTCACTTAATAGCATTTTATGACATTACTGTATATTATACACTTCCTTCTAACTAAACTTTGTAGATTTGTGTGTTCCTCATACAGTCTGATTTCCTCATATAGACATAACAAAACAAAAAAATAATAAAATAACACCAGTGTAAATAAGTTTTACTCCTTTGTATGAATTTAAAGCAAACATGGGATATTACAGAATCATAAAATAATTTAGGTTGGGAAAGGACTCCTGAAAATATCTGATCCAATCAACTGCTCAGAGCATATGCCTTGAATGTATAATCCTAACACATCATAACCATGTAACACTCAGCAATCTGCAGTACTGTGGGAGAAAATCTGAGAAATGCAGTGACAATATTCAGAAGGTTTATGAGTCATGGGCAAGCCTTGATGGCACATTTTGGAACAAACGGAACAACACAGGTTACACAGGTCTGCATGGAATTTGGAGATGAGCTGAAAAAGAGGAAAATTCAAGTAACCAAAGTTCTTAGAGATCCGTCCAACCCCATGAACCAATGAAGACAGAAAATACTGGTGCTATGCTGCAACATTTCAGAAGAAGAGGGAGCTATACAAATGGAACACGCTGTATCCTTCTAGTGAGGCAAAAAATTACTAGAGCAAGAAAAAGTGGTAGCAGCCAGCAACTGGTGGGAAGATGAGGAAGACTGAAGAAAATAAGTTTTCCACTTGTTCTTGCAACAGTTCAGACAGCCTCACTGAATTCTTAGGACTTTTCCTTGACTTTGATTTCACTGGCATTACGTCTGAGAGGATAATTCACACAGCTGGAAAATCCATGTCTGGTTATACATAACAAAGGTGACACTCTGCACTATACACTACACTACTACCTAGTGTAGGACAAATCACAGCCTGGGATTGTGAAAGAACATGGATCAATGTGCTCAGTAACATTGCTTAGGAGAGCTTGCAGGTGAGGGATAGCTACAGAGCATCACATCAACAGACAGAATAAAATGAGCTATGCTGCAGTAACCACCAGGAGCTTGTGCACAAATATGTCAGGTTATTGTGGAGGGGCTTCTGTTCTGAGAACATATGCAGACGTCAGCAAGGGTGATCATTTCCTCTCATCAAAGACATTGCATCAAACACAGCGTAACTTAAATTGGGATTCTAACACAATTACTTACTTACTAGACTGGAAGACGATAGCTCCTAGGGACCTTATTAAATTCAACAGAAGCAATGAGAGAATATTCCCCTCCAGTATGCAGTACTGATACCAGATGGCATCTCAAAGTGCAGTTTCTCAAAAATAAGAACACTAGAAGCAAAATCAAGTGTGAAAACCAAAAAGAAAAAAAAAAAAAAGGCATTCTTCAGATGATATTAATTAGAAAGCTAAAAATCCACAACGACTCTCTCAAAAATGACAATAGGTTTGACTAAGAGTCCACCTTGGATCGGAACAGTGGTAAAAGAGCAATTAAAATAAAAATATTGGCACAAACTTAATGGAGGTTAAATAGAGAATCAAATAAAATCAGAAGTTATGAGTTACAGAAAAATTATAATGGACGCTAAAGACTTCAGGGAAAAGCCTGTGTTTGGCAGTGCTCGAAAAATTGTAAGTTTGAAGGTTTTTTAGAAATACTAGAAATAAAAGTACATCTTCTGGATAGGAAAGGAAAACTTCAGCCATTTTAAAATCAGTTGTGATAGAGAAAAGGCAGAAGAAGAGCTTGATATCTATTCTCTCTAACCCAGGACACTGACTGAACAACTCATTCCTGCAGCAGCAGGAGAGGATATTGGCATCTACTTGTCATGCACGTTTATAAACTAGCAAACCCACACCTAAGAGTGACCTTTAACAGAGATTTTAATGATAGTGAAATGTCAAAAGACTGATGGAGAGGGGCTATGGTGAGCCAAATTACAATGTAGCTAACATGCTGAGGCAAAATAACAGAAATGGTAAGTGGAAGATGGGTTTCAGTTAATGGGTAGATATATAATGAGTAACAGTCACCATGAATTTATGGAGCACAGCTCCTGTTGAACAATCTGATTTCATTCCTTGAGTGCTGATGAATTTGGTTGCTAAAGAAAATAATGTAAATTTATCAAGTATTTCACTAATTACCACATGAGATTCTAATTAGAAGTTAACAGTGTAATATCAATTAAATGCACACTCTAGATTAAGAATTATTTAACTAACTAATTATAACATTATCTGGTCATGGGAAATTGTCATCAAATATGGTATGTCTCCAGGCTTCTTGAGGCATTGATACTGGAGTGTCAAAATGCAAGATTATCATCTGCAAGTAACCATATAGTCACTTGGTAAAGTGTGTAGATGTGACAAAGATTAAGAGGAACAGGAATAAAATACAGAGCAACTTGGTTCACTTGGTAATCTGGTACCAGTCAAACTAAACATATTTGAGTGCAGACAAGTGCATCAAGAGATGAAGGGCAGTCATAAAGAAGAGACATTTCCTCTTGGAAACTGTAACTTTGAAAAAAGACTGAGAGTGAACATCAGATCCAAGAAGCCATCATGAAATCCCAGGACTCTGGAAAGAAGAACTCAGGGATTCCATCCTTGCCTGTAAATACAAATACGGAAGTGATTTTTATTGTCATAATAGTGAATTAAATACTGGAATACTATTCAATTCTGATGCCTATGCTTTAAAAAAATATAATAGCAAGTTACAGAGGCTGCAGAAAGAGCCTCAAAAATTATTCAGATGCTTGAGAAAAATACATGATAGCAAGAGGTTTAGAAGAACTTAGTCTGTTTAGTTTATCAGAAGAGCAGACTGGGGAGGGTGTGGTGATTCCAATACGCAAAATATTTCTCCAAGGAGGAAAATGTGGGTGTGGAACAGAGAAAGAATAACAAGAAGCAAGAGATGAAAACTGAAGTCAGGCAAATTCAAACAGGAAACAAGTCTGCTTTAAAAAAAAAAATACAGAGACGTTGTTTGACCAGTGGGAAAAAAAATTCCAATGACTGTGGCAAAGCTTTTATTTCTGCAAGTCTTGAAAGTCCAGGTTGAATACTCTTCCAAATACGTGCTTTTGTCAAACATGAGTTTCTGGGCTCAGTGCCAGGGAGAAAGTACAAACACTCAGTGCCTGTAATGGATAGGTGAGCAGACTAAATGACTACATTGTCTAATATGGCCTCAGACTCTGGGAACTTGTGAGCCAGAGCAATGCAAGACTTAATGATGTGCACAGCCCCATGCTGCCCTAAGCCTCCTCCTTCCCCGCCTAATTATGTCCCAGCACCAGCTTCTTCTTCTGAAATTGCCCAAGTGGGGACTTGGCATGGGCAGAAACACTTCAGCTGATGTGACTACTAGAGTGATTGGTCTTGCCCTGCATGAGGTGGGTAGGGAACATGAAAGAAAACCAGTGATTTTTAATTACATTCTCCAGATTTTTGTGCTGAAATTCTAGGCACCATGGGACCCACCAGACTAAACACAGGGAAGAGTGAGTAATACGGGCATGGAAATCAAAGGATGGGGGCAGCCCTTACTCTTCTCCTCCAGCCATCAGCTGAACTGAAACAGCAGCAAAAAGCAATGGCATCTGTTCAGATCTGCTTCACAGCTCAGGCACGAAGTGGGACTGAACATTGGGCTGCCCTTCTGCTCTCCCTCCAGGGGAATGCAGCACTGCTAAGCCAAGAAGGATTTACTCTGCAGACCTAAATACTCGAGAGTGCCTCCATGATAACAATAAGCAGAAGCCAAACCATGTACCTAAGAACCTGTCAGCAAGGCTGTTGGACTGCAGAGCCAGGGCTGTTCGGAAACCCTTGCTGTCCGATGGGATGATGGTGGACTGACAGACAAAAGCTCCCACAAAATTGGAAAAATCTTCTGTTTCTGCAACCATGTCCTTCAGAGTAACATCTGTGATATTGTCAGTGCAAATAGCCATCTTCTTCCCCTGTGGACAATCAAGAAAAAATGGGGAAGCTGTTAGTTGTTGATAAGACATAAAAAAGTTTGGGAAAGTAGAGATTGTAAACTTCCTGATTGCAAACTGGATGAGTTTCATTATTGCACCTTAGAAACTTGATGTTTCTGTCATGAGAGGACAAATTGCAACAACAAACTGTGCCATTGTTAAAGCTCCGATTAAAGCCTTGTACAGACCCAGAAACATGATGTCACCTCTGATATGTGTCTTATCAGAAGCCTGTGCTATGAAGTACTCTTCTTTGTTTATCTTGACAGCACAGTGTTTACTCGCAGAGCATAATAAAATGGCTTACAAAGGAAACCTGTATTTCCTTTGCCCTTAAATGCTATATCGTAGAATATCTCTTTATCTGGGATTTAGTAGAGGTAAAATATTTTCAAAGCACAAATGCATGAAATCCCTAAACAGATATATAGCCTTCAAGGCTGCATTAATACCACATGTCACGACCAATGCTAGAATCTCAGAGCAACAACAATGAAAGACAAATCACCAGACTCAGTTATCCTGACAAAATGCCAAGCACTCACAACCTAATCATATGGTTGGTAGTAGCATAGTACCATCATAGTAGTTGGAGAAAATGAAGACCAGATCCACAGGGGAGTGAGCATAAATCTTTGTGGATCTAGTTGCCAGCAGCTCTAAACCAGATGCTACTTAAACACACATTTAAGCCTAAAAGTATGCAAAACACTGTAAAGAAATGTGGCAATTCATTTGACTCAACTCATGCAAACCCTTTGGTACACAAGAAAGAGATTTCAGAGCTTTATAGGGCTGAACATTAATGCAAACTACATGTATTGGCATTCATGGGACAATACACATCACTGGTACTGCTCCAAAACTTCAAATTATGTATATGACAACATACTCTGGTACAGTCCAAGCCCCATACAGAAAAGTCTTGATTCTGGGGCTTGGACTGTTTGTGTTTATGGACTACACACATTCTTCCACCACTGTAAAAGTTTTCCATCAAAGTCAGCAATGGGCACCTCAGCCACTGGCAAAGAGCACGTTGACCAGGGCTCTGCTAACAGCAACAAAGAAAACATATAGAAAGAAGTTGGCAACTGAAAGGCTCAGACTCTTCACTTGAGTTCCTTGGTGGCAGCCCAAAAAGGTCAGAGTTGTGAAGTGATTTGAAGGCACAAGAGCTAAGAAAAGGTAGGGATGTGACAGGGTTTTTCTTCTGAGTGTCACTTATGCCTGAAACACTGTCATCTCTGCTCTGGAAAATCTCAGCTGCTCAAAAGTCCTCTTGCACTGTCAAGCAAGATCCAGAGGGAAGTGTTTGCACGGTATCAGTGACATCTCAACTGCCAGGGAGTCCTCATCCTGTCTCAGTGACATCCCACAAAGCATCAGCAAAGGGCAGCAAATTGGTTAATCCTCCTGACCCCCAACAGCAGTTGAGCTCACCTCATTCCCACACAGGCTGATGTTAAAGAAGTGGAAGAACTTGGTCCCTCGGGAGGTGAAACTGGGTCCACTCATCAATGAGCCCACCTGGCTGAGGTTGCTAAAATCGTAATTCAGGCTCTGGTTATCTTTGATGTACGACATCAGGCAGTCACTGAAGCAGGCAGAGTGGTCCTTCAGAGAAGGAGAGGAGTCCATTAAAGAGCAGTTATGGACCAGCAGCAAACCATTCACCTGTGAGTTAAAGCAAGCAGGTGCAGACAGGACTGCTTTCCTTGTCAAGGCTGGAGTGGAACTTTGTCCTATTCTGTAATTCAGCTTTCCCTCAGGAGAATTCCCATTCCTTGTTTCAGTCTCTTGCAATCACATATCAGGACTTTAATGTTCCCTAAGCCTGGCCTTTTTGCTGTCCACTGCTTTAGTCAAGAAAATGTTGAGTTTCTTTCTTTGTTTTGTTGTGGGTGCTTTTATGATCCCAACGCCCCAGTTTAAAGCCCTGTAGATAGACCAGAACGTGGCCTCAGTTATACTTGCACCTTGCAAAGGAAACACAAGAAACAGCTCGAGAAACAGGGACAGGATATGAACCCAGCTGAAGACAGGCAGAATACAAACAAACTGGAGCAGTTCTTCAAGTCCTTGTGCAGCTCCTTGTCAAAGGATGCTGCACATGATAAATGTTTATCTAGGCTTAAGGGCTATTTCATGTAAGAGGAACTTGTTACAGGTTTCTGAAGGCACAGAAACATCATCCACCTGAGGAAGTCCCTAAGTTTAAAACAGCAGGAGTCGGGGACTGCTTTAGGTGAAAGTAACATGTATACTTGCCCTGTTCTTACACTGTCTCCAGTACAGCTTCTTGAAATGAACCTTTTTTTGAGACAGTGTGGCCAATTTTATCTTCTTATTGCACATTTACAAACAGAAATTAAACTAGGGACTTATTTGGAAGAGTGGGATCATTGCTTATAAATATACTCCAATGCTCACAAGGCACGTACCTGTAGGAAAGCACTAAAACTGGCCCTCTGAGTGCTTATATCCCAATAAAACCTGTCTGCCCATCGCTCGGAGCCACTTGGTTTCTGTACCTTGGTGCTTTTGCTGCCAGGACCACACGGGATGCAGGCCTCCCTGCCATAGACCTGATGGATGGACAAGAAGGTGTTGGCTGGACACTCCCTGCACTGGCTGGTCTCCTTCTCGATGTAGTGTCCTGCGGGGCAGGGCACGCAAGATGAGCCAGACTGCTGGGATCCCAGTGCACAGGCCCGGCAAGAAGAAGCAACTCCATCCACTGCGTTGGTCACTGTGATGGAGTATATCTTTGCCATGTCATTGATGAACTGTCTGCTCTGGAACGAAAGCCAAGGAAACCACCCTGGTGTCATCATGCCATTGCATTTGGACATTAACCACAACTCTGAGCACTAGGGCACTGATTCAGGGATTAACTTATGCATACGTCTGTCTTTCAACATGGATGGTGTATCCACAGCTGCCTCCCAAGGGCTGCTATGTGGTGACAGCCACTCATCCCTTACAAGAAGCCTGGGAGCTTTAATGGAGAGCAAGAGCTCTGATGGTGAACATCCAAGGGAAGCTGTGCTGTAAAGCTCTGTACATAAAGAAGTACTTACATCTTGGCCCTCGTTTATTCGCTGAAAGGCCCAGGTGAATGTGAAGGAAGCGTTTTTGGAGATTATGTGAGTGTAGGATTGTTTCTCTTTACTTCTTTCCCATGATTCCACCACATTGGTATTTTTTCGATTAACATCCTATAAAATGGACATAAAATTTTTTAAGAAAATTAAAAGGGTGGTCATACTACACTAAATATCAATGTTTTATAATATAGAGATTAATATATATAGAGGACTTCACAATTGCATTTAATTTTTAATAAAGGAGAGCCAACATATTTATTCAGTTTTCCAGCACTGTCAATTCTTTTAATTGAGAATGGGTGTCTATTCCAACAGATGCTCTAGTTTACACAACAGTTAAGTTCAAAGTCCTATAGCAGGTTATACATCTTATGAGGACAGATTCAGCATTGTGGTTCATTCAGATTTGAAATTCTGTTTATGTATTAAAACATGTGAGTAGGAGAGCACAGAAAGGGGAATGCCAAAATATAAAGAAAAATAATAGTTTCTTCAGATACCCATTTTTTTACTGAAACAGAACTGAGACCAATAAGACAGCATCACAATTTACGTGAGAAAAACTTCTTCAATCTATGTTTGTGTTTCTTATTCTCCATCATCTGTAAATGTTCCAGGAAAAAGATCCTTTTCCTTTAAAACAGATTCCTTTAAATTACCACCTAATTTCCACTTAATTCTCTTTAAATTAAAAGCAGATCCCTTTAGAGTACTACTAAACACAAAGAAGGACCGGCGTCTCTTTGCACTGGAAGGGGCAAGGAAGCTGTCACAGATCCAGTTACCTTCCTTAGCTGATGGAATTTCAATAAGCAGATGAGGAAAGTAAAAACATAGCACTTTGCTTTCACCAACAAACATCTGTCTGCTGACCTACTGATCCCCCATGTCACTGGCAGGATCAAGTCTAAACTTCCAAATTTTTCTTTTAGCATCCCTCTGTCCCACTTCTTGACTTGTGACTCTATTAAACTTCTGGAGGCTAACTCAACTGCACAAGAGACACTGAGAATTTTATCAGTCGGGTTAACAGTGGAAAACTTGGCTCTTTGGTGGCCAATGATTTATTTTAAAATAAACAGATAATCAGGAATGGTTCTCAACTTATATGGTGAAGGAATTTTGTTAGGTCATTCATTAAATCATTCCTGCAAGGGCACTGCAGATATTAAACTAGTGTCATACTTAATCTTAGTCATAATAAACCAAGTACAACTAATCACACCTATGTAGAGGTATTAAAGTGACATGTGGAATACCAGGCTCAGTCCTCAGTCATGGAGAGAGAGGTCCCACTTACCGCCATAAAGTACAGTACACAATCTGCTGAACAGATGGTCTCAAAAATAAAAGTAATCCGTCCTAGTTCTGACCCAGTTGCTCCAGTCACAGATGTCGGAGGTCTGTTTAACAGAGAAAGAACAAAACATTTACAAGGTGCTCTCCAGACAGGCAGCAATCAATCCTTCAAATTGCTTTTCATACAGCAAGGAAACCATCAAAGTCCCGTCACATAAAACCTGCCCTTGCAGAACTGCGGAGGCCAGGTTTGCACAGTGGCCCTGCACTGGGTATCAGGCGCAGTGGGGTTTTTTAAAAGTCTGACCTCTTTATGGTACAGTTCCCTCCTTATAATCAACAACCAAATTTGACCATATTGTTAGAGAATCTTATCACTTAAATGCATTACATGCTTTAAGTGATTTACACCAATTTAATGGCATCTGTGCTCCACCGGTGGAAGACAGGAGTTTCATGCAAACCAGAATGATTCCAGGTGCTCCCCTGCAAAGTACTAAATAGTAAACAGTAGACTGTGACACTCTGAGGTTTTTCACAGATATGTTTCTTGATTCTCTTTTATTTTAATTGCTGTTTGCCCATACTGTAAAATAAAAATCAGGGTTTGCTCATTGTGTGTAAGAAGCCACAAACCCCCCCTCAGCTGAGATACAACAAATGGAGGGTGAGGTTCATTTTGCCATACCCTACCTGTCTGAATATTTGGCACCTGGTCTGAGATAGGAGTCTAATCTCACTCTGTCGACAGAGACATGAGCACCCCAAGCATCTATTACATCCTGAATGTCCAGGAGAGGTGGGATGCCCTGTTCCCCTCAGTGCCTGCATCTCTCCACTGGCTCCAGAACCGGTTCCCAGAGCCACAGCACAAAATAACTTGGGTTTCTGTAAAATACCTCCAGGGCAGGCACCAGGATTCACCCTATGGCATGTTTAGCTGGTTACTTTGGGATAATTTACAAACAGAGGAATAGGAATATCTTTTCTCAGTTTCTAGACAGCCAGCTGGCTGGCATCTTCAGACTGAAGCAAATACTGCTAAAAACCAAGGTGTTACAGAGTCATCTGCTGCAATGGGCTGACTGGGGACACAGGAATAAAATCCAAGTTTCCTCTGGTCTCTCATTCATGACATCATTGCTCTTCAGAATGTTCATTCCATGGGTAATGTGAAATAGATGTAAGAGATAGAGATAAATGAGAAATAGTTGAAAAAAAAAAAAATCTGTTCCTTACTTAAATCCTGGGATGTTCAGGCTCAAAATAAGATAGTCATTGTCAGAGCCTCCTGCCCCACTTTGGATGTGATCACCAGCCACCTCCCAACCTTCACAGGACAAAAAAAGGAAAAAATAAATTCAGAGAATGAATGGTTTCTGGATCATATGGCAAAAAAATTTCTATGTTGCCATACTTTTCTAAACCATTCAGTACTTTAGTACATTTTAAAGATGTCTGGTATAAACTATAGAGCATTATAACAATGGTTTTGAATAAAAAATTTTAGTAATTGTATGAACTGCTGATTTTATAGGCAAATGTCACCTTGAAATCAGCAAAGCAATTGGAATTCCCTGACCTGTGCTGTGCAGCTCAAGGGGGATGATCCATCTGATCTCTTCCAGCCTTAAAACAGATGAATCAATGAATCTGTGTGTTAAACATTAAGCATATACTTGAGTGCCCCTCTGCTCAACACACATAATTCAAAGCTTGAGTTACATCAGCCTGACAGGGCGGATCAGACAGAAGAAAATCTTTCAGAGAAGGCTGGAGGTAGGAGAAGTCCCGAATGGGATCATTTTCACCAGTGAGCTGTTACTGCTCTCTGCTGCAATTTTAGCATATGTGCAGCAAGAAATCTCTGAGTGCTAAATGTACAAAATCACAGGCTTTACTTAAATTTTCCAAAAGAATTATGTGTGACTTCGACAGAAATAGTTATCACAAAACATGAAAGGAGATAAACTAGAGAGAAGTCAAATAGTTGTTTTTTTCAATGGGGACATGCAGATGCATTGAAGTCTATAGTGGGATAGGTCCTTGGCTGAGGGGACTTCACATAGGCCGCAGATCCTGAGCTCTTCTGGTATACAAGAGATTTTTTATTTCTTCTTTGTGATATTTAGACATTGTTTCCTACAGGAAATTTCAAGCCTGATTCAGTTAAAGAAAAGGAGGGAAACTGTGTTGCGACTCACGCAGCAAAGACCACACTGATTTTGATGGGTGCTCCATTACAACAGTGATCAGCGCAGGAGAAAGACAGGCACGTAACACCATGGGGAGTTTGGCTCACCGTTCATCCCATCGCACTTTGAGTTGCCGACATTAAAGCAAGATGTCTTCATGTTGCCTGGCAGGATGTTCCACCACTTGTACTCAAACCCAAGAGCTGGTTCAGTCCCAGCAGGGCAGGCTTTGCACTCTACAGGGAGAGAGGGCAGGAAAAGGAAATCACACAGCCAAAGCACATCTCAGTGTTCTAAATAACATAGGTACTAGTTTTTTACTCTCTGGGGCAAGTAATGAGCAAAGAAAATTATTTATTTCTTTATAATTAAACAGTCAAAGACTTAGCAGGACAAGAAGAGTAGAAACAAGACCAGCATTTAATAAATTGCAGATAATCTCATGGTAAATAATCTGCAATGGATCCTCCAAGCCACACTTCCCTTTTAATAACTTCAGCTGAAGATTTGATCATACTAGTAAACATGAGTTCCCACAAATGCTGTAGGTGACCACTGGGCCATTACTTTTCAGAATCAACAAGCCAGAGTTTAGGCTAGACAATGTTGGCAGAGTAGTTATCTGATAGTGCTTAAACTGAGATTTTCACAGGGAAAAACTTGGCATGGTCAGGAGAATGAATGAGGAGGTATTACTGACTGTAAAGGTTCTAATTTCCTTCTCAGAATCCCTTAAAATAACCCTCAGGATGTTTATATCATCCAAGAAATGCATCCAGAACACAACAAGTCAACTTAGAGCAGCAATCCCTGATAAGAAAGGACTTCAGAGAGAAAACTGATATCCAACTCCCGCCCTCCAATGTTATTTAATAAGTATTTTATGCAAAATGAGCTGTGGCTTATGATGATGTGCCATTAAACTAAGTCACATGCAAGCAGACAACTGCTTTTAGAGGCACAAGCAATTTTTTTGTGGACTCCTACCCTGTGTCCCATCTGAAAATGTGCCTGGTGGGCAAGGAGTACAGGAAGACGAGGCGTTGTTGTAAAAGCCAGGATTGCAGGGTGGACAATCCTTCCTCTCTCCAGAAGGAGGTAGGGTCAACGCATCAGGGAGATCCTCTCTGCAGATCTTGGGTTCAATCCATTTGTACATGATCTGAGTCTTGAAAAAGAAGACACTGAGCTCACCTGGTGTGTTACGAAGCTTTAGGACTAACTGCATCAATCAAATGAAATAAGGGTATACCAATTCATGTAAATGAAATCAGGGTATACACAATGTTTTAGGCCAAAACCAGATCTTGCACATACAGGACAATAAAGAGAAGGGCAGAGAAGGGAAACAGAAGTGATTGGATTCACAGGCAATTCCAAGACATCAGATCTTAAAAGCAAAGAAAAAATGGGAAGCTTAAAACAATTACTACTGCTCATTTCTATTTATCTAGTGAATTTTGCCATGAAAATGTTTCTGATGAATGTCAGATAAATAATTCTAACTGCATAAGCAATCACTGCATTTTAACCATAGTCACTCAAAACATAACTTCTGCATTATAAAATCCCTTTATTTGGAATGCATTTGTCAGCAGAGAACGCCACAAGTTTTGCATTTTTCCTCCATATTGGCCTGTTCTTTGAAAAGTCCTGGATTTCTCTCCACCCACTTTCACCTACTGAGCACATGCCAAAACCACACAGGAGCTCTCTCAACCCCTCTCCAGTCCTTCCACATCACATAAGGAGCAGTTTATGAACACTAACATGAGTCAGTCAGCTGCATTACCATATAAAAGAGGATCACCTCCCCATCTTCACCTCTCTGAGGTGACAAGTTTTCTATCTTCAGGAAAAGGCTTAGGTGAGATGCGTCACCTGTGAAGGTGGGTTTCAAATTTCATCTGACTTTGGGTCTATGCCTGAAAGGGTTTAATATCTCAAGATGAAAATTAGCTGAGTTCCAGAGTTGAGAAACACAACTGGCAAGATCTTAACCTGGACACATCTCCCCCTCTGGGTACTTCCATCCTTTGGTGCCAGCAGTGCAATCAGGGATCTTTGAGGCCAGAGGCACACATACAGAGCTTGGCAGGGCAGATTTCACCGTATGATTTTGATCCAGGGCCCTGAGCACATGCCTCTGCTATCCTGCACATTGAGCTGCTTGAACTCAAGGTTAGATCTCTGATAATGCAGAGCTCTTCAGGAAGTATTGATCATCTTAAAAACTGAAAAAAAAAAAAGTGGGAAGAAGCCTAGCTGCAGGCTTAGAACCCAGCTTCTGGGAGTTGCCGTTAAGACGAGGCTCTCACGCTTTGTCCCTGCCTGCGTTTTGTTGCAGTTGTGCCTGTGCCAGGTCACATACTCTGGTTGACACACATCCTGACTGACCCATGGACTTGATGTCCCAGCTTGACACTGCTTGTGCCTCATCACTATGGGCTTGTCTGGCAACCTTGGCTGAATCTGGCTGCTGATGCAGTGTCTGCTTTGTTCACTTTGCTCAGGTACCATGGGACTGCTCCTGCTGTCAGAGTGGCATCTGTCCCTCGTGGATCAGCTTACCCTTGCTGAACACTTAGAGGACATTCTGGAGTATAGCTCCAGAAGTGTTTCAGCAGCATCAGGGCACACAGCATTTAAAATTAAAAGGCTCAGGAGCTGACAAAGTACCTGTGTGGTTGCCCAGAGCCCAGACACACTGTACACATTAAAGCAATCCTACTGCATCTGAACATACAGAAAAGGGTCAGAGTGACTCACACAGGTGAGAGTTTCTAAGACTGGGGCTGAAGCAATCAGCCTGGGATTTCCAAAGCAGCAGGTAGGTAAGAACTCAATAGGAGTCAAGTGCTTAAATCTCCTGAGGCTCCTTCTACACATAGAGTGAGGACAGCAGGAGGGAGACAATAATTTAATGTCCAGTGAAAAACCCGGCTGATTTTAGTAAGCCATGGATCAATAGGTCTATACTCTGATGCTTTACAGCCACTGTTCACATGAATATGGGCTGCAGTGTCAGGCCATCTCATTGAGTTGCATCACATGGAGAGATGGCTGGAGAGTATGGAAAACCTGGACCCATTTCCAGAGATGCAGAACACTAAATGGTAAAAGCAGTCCTGAAACACCAGCCAGGATCTGAGTGTCTATGACACATGTTGTTGTTGCAACTGGAAGATGAAGGGTGTCTGCAGAAAAACCCACTTTGTATTCTGATGATGTTCACGGGTGAAGGGAAAGGCCATTGAGGAAGCAGGAAGAGGGTCAACAGTAGGAGCCTATTCAGTGACAGGGAGCTTGAATTGCACAGAGCAGTAACAGGGTAATCCACAGGAGGCTGCAATTAAATCAGCACCTGGAGGTGTAGCAGTGAACATTGCTGCTAATTCCTCAAGTCATTACAGGCAATTAACAGAGCAAGAATCAGTGAGTCAAGACCAGGTTGTAAAGCTCTGGGGCTAAACTCACTGATGCGCCATTATTAAAGCACATGAACTCTAAGCTGAATTTTGGAACTGGCTGACCAGGAGACTCTAAAATACTCCATCCTGACAGCAAATATTAGGGCAGCAACATACAGGTGTTATGGATTTTGACTACTCGCCATCCCATCCAGATCTGAGAGAGATGTGAAATGGAAGAAAAGAGACAAAACAGGCTTGACCATGTGTCCACACCTCTGTGGGTTCCATATCTCAGTAAACAGGAGTTTCTTCTCCAAATCCTACCAAAATCCCCACTTGATTGCTGGGACAAAGGGCACAAGATCTCTACCAGCAGGTCCTCTATAAGAGATTCAGTGGATCTAAGATCTCTGGGTGAAACAATCTACTGAGAGTTCAGGTGTTTTGAGGCACCCCATGAGGTAATCACATTATTAGCAGTTAAGCTCTGCTGCTGCACATGAATATTCCCAGGCTACTTATATACCATTATTTCAACAGATCACAGGCTCTTCTTTGATGCTAAAAGCAATTTATGCAGCCACTCTTCCTACCTGGAATAGGTATGGTCACGTCCAGTGCTCCTGTGCCATGGTAGCACCTGAATCATGCCTGGGCATTGCTGGCAAGTTGTCACAAACCAAAAGTATGCCAGGAAAGATTGCTAACTACTAAACAGTAGGATTTATTCTGGTACAGTACTTCACCCTGTGCTCCAACCCTGTGTTTTTTATGAGCAAGGAGGTAGTACCAGTGACTCAGTCAAACTAATCACAAGTGCAAGGAGTTTAGCATTTTGTGACAGATCCCTTAAGAAGACCCATGACAGATGGATAAATTCTGGACAGAAGGCACCTAAAGGACGAGTCCAAAACCTCAGGGAGATTCAATGCTAGAAGCAAAACTGGGAAAACAGTTGGGAAAGAGATTCCTAAAAACGCTACCTTGTTTTCAATCCAAGAGATTACAGTTAACTCAATGATCTTAAAAATAGTACAGTGTCTTCTACTTACTTTTCCTTCCTTATCACATGGGGTATGGATCTGGAAAAAGTCTTTGTTTGTGCATGGAGGACGCTCTATACACCCACTGGATCCCTCGTCTAAAAAGAAAGGGTGAGGAACAGGATGTTAAACTACCAAACGGTCCCTGGAAATAATTGTAATGATCTTAAAATCTGGAGATTAAAATGAGTCAGCAGAAAAATACAAAATGAGAATGAAAAATCAAACACTTAATGGAGTCTACATGAACCTTCCCCAGAACTGAAGTGGGAGAACATGGAAAATACCAGCTATGCTTTTACTGTCACACTGAAATTCATTGATTCAGTACAACCAGGGAGTCACCCAGACCCTCACCCCACCCCTTCACCTTCAAGAATTAAATTGTGTAGTTTTCCAAGCATGGGAACATGTTCTCAATTAATAAGGAACAAAACCACTCTAGCACATTAGAAACTTCCTTATATCACTGGCCCAATTTTTCCTCTCCTCAGATACTTTTTTGTAAAATTTCCATCCCCATCAGGAGCACAGGCAAAGGTCCCTAAGTATTTGCCATAGTCTGTGATAACGGGCACCATGGTTGGTAACTGATACTTTAAAAACTTTCATATAAAACAACTACAGGGAAGAAAATTGAAGATATTTTGACCATGAAGAATGGATTGTGCCTGTGTTATTTGATGATCATCAGCTAACCACAGCTGAGAATACAGAGGACTTTGGAGACTAGGGTTTGCAACTACATCACCACATCTTCCAACAACACAGGAGGCAGGGACAGGCCAGGAGAGGATTTGGAAAGGAGATTCCTTGAAACTTGACAAGTCTGAAGGCAGCGATGAAGCCAGTTCAGGTCATTGCCAACAGATAACACAAATTACCACAAGAGGGCACAGCACGACTGCTACTATCTAGAAGAACTGTTCCCTTGGAAGTCACAAACATCTCCATCCCTTCATGTTAGTGTAGATGACCTTATCCAAGACTGACTGTGGCCCATTATGTACATGTGTGCCCTCTGAAGCTTGTGGGAAATCCCATCTTCATTTTCCCTTTGCATATCAACTGGACACTAAACTTCATTTCTGGATAAAACCATTCTCACATCTGTACACAGAAACACATTATGACTTTACGTACTCAGACTCTCTTGGGTTTGTTTAACTCATTTGATTTAGGTACCTGAATAATACATTTCTTCTTTACACTTGGTGCACTCTTTAGCTCCTTTCTCAGAATAAGTATTTCTTGGACACATCTGGCAGCCAGATGACCCTGGCTTGTCACTGAATGTACCAGGCTTGCATGCAAAGCATTCAGACGTATATGCAACTCCTGTAAGATAAATTACATGTAAAGCACTGAAAAAGAGAGGTATGTTCTGTAACTGCTGCCTACCTGCTTATGGGGGAAAACAAGTCAGCTGCATGACAAAGCTTAAAAATCATAGTTTTTCACCACTTGCTTTAGACACTTTGGCTTTGCTGGGTCATAATTTAGGTCTTTATTCTTTGCCCCTCAACACAAGTCTGACCCATGTAACAACCTTGTATGACACGCCAAGTTTGATTACACTTAGAACAGCACCAAAAGAGCAATCCTACATTAATTAAGTTATTTAAATAACAATTTAACTGTCATTATTATTATATATATATATCCATTTATTATCGTTGAGAGGTTTACCAATAAGCATGTTCTTTCTATACTACATTAAAGAAAACCTGTTTATTCCTTTTTCTCTATATTTGCTAAGCCAGCCTTCTCCAGTAGGTGGCATCATTTACCAGCTAAATTAATTTTTCAGCCTTTCCTTGACAGTGTGAAGTTTTGCTGTTCTGTTTCTACACTTCAGAGGAGGAGACAGGGGACAAGGAAGCTAAAAAAATCCACTTCGGTGTGGTAGACACACCAGTAGAAATGGCACTTGTCAAACACTGGGACAACAGAGTGAGACAAGACCTAAAAGGCAAATATCACTTACCTTCAATTGTGATGTTTTTCACCAGAACTGGTTTTACTACTTTGGACCCCATGAGAATCCCTGTTGTTCTCCAGTATAATATATTGCTACCTGATTTCAGAGTTACCTGCAACAATATGCATGGCAGTTAGCAGACATCCCCTCACCAATTGTTTTACTTCTTACTTCCATTACTTAGATTTCTTTCATTCTAGCAGTAATACTGGCTTTTCCTAAGCCGTTTAGTGAGTCAAGAAGTAATGGGGAGACAGCTAGGCAGGTACTGTAGAGACATCTCCGAGGAGTGCCAAAGTGTGTTTTATAAAAAAACTTCTCAACACCCCAGATTTATGGAAAAACACCAAGAGCTGTTTCTGACCTTGTTGTAAGCAGAACTGGGAAAAAGCTGTTCCTCCTTTTATCCAGCTATCCCTGGCACTCAGGAGCTTTTATCTCTATCTCTATGTTCAGGTATAGTCAATCAGTTTGTTTTTAAAGCCTTGAGAAACACTTTTACAAAGAAACCCAACATGACCCAGAGTTCAAAAATCCAGGCTCACAAGTGAGTTTTGTCTACAGGCTTTAAAAATCAAGCTCTGCCTGCAGCTAACACTACAGCATCATGCTCAGTAAGCCAGGCATGTCCCCAGCAGCAGTCCTCTCTGTCCTGCTCATTTCTGACCCTGAACGGCAGATGAGATGCAGAAAACAGCCTGGTTTCCAACTGCCTTGACCTGCTTGTCTTCACAGCGTGGATCAGCAAGTGGCTGCACAAACCCCTGTGGTGGCACAGGAAGGGGTGGTGGCACCATCTCTGCGATAAGAGGCAGAAGGAAGGCAGGACCACTTCTTTAAGCAGCAGTGGTGGTGCCTGATCTCTTCAACTCACCCATGTAACTACAGTATCACTCTACTCACTAAAAGCAGCAGGTTTAGCAAGACCCTGCCTGGCCTGCAAAGCTGTACCACATCTACTACCTCAGTGCAAGATACCTACTGCCAACACAGTGATACTGGCCTGAAGGTGCTATATTTTCACACAAGGAACAAACTCTACTAGCGTAAGGGTCCAGGATAATGAGATTTATAGCAGTGCTGTACAGGTCTGGCAGGTCCTCAGTTTCTGTTCAGCCAGGACAAAGAGTCCAAAAATTCAACAAAGTAGAAATACAGCATATTGCATCTCTCACTCCCCAAACAGCTACCATCCAGGCACGCAGAGGAGAGACGGGTGACCACAGATAACAGCAGAACTGGGGCCATACTAGACCAAACGTCATGTTGTGTGGTGTAGAGATAGCAAATATCAGCTCCGATGCAGCAGGACTGGCATGCTGAAAGCAAAGGCTGCAGCAACTGTACAACTGGGCTCAGAGAAACCACCATGACAGCACCACAGTGCAGACAAAAGACTTGGGGAGAGCCAGAATAGTCATCTCACCTAGCTCATGTGTCTACATTTTAGCCATGCATCCAAGCAACCTTCATAGTCAGTGGAGACACTGCACATCCCAGATGGTGAGCTCAGATGTCACCATCTCCCATGCAGATACTACCTACATCTCTCATCTCACTCATGTCAATGCCCTAGCCTTGGATTTAGCTCTCAGCCCATGCCACTCACCCCTCCTCACACAGCCCTCCTGCCTCCTGATGTGACTTATGTGGGACTTGCACCTGAGTTAAGAGACACTACCAAGCAGACCTGGCTTGGGAATACAGTTTCTTCTCCGGGAGGATGAGCAGAACATGGAAAATGAGACCAGGCTGCTTTCTATGCCCATAAAAAGCCTTTTTCTTCTGGCATGATGTCACCATGCTGGGCCTTTGTTGGTATGGCTCTGGGAATTAGGGTGTGATGGTATAGTGAAAGCCAGGTGTTACCATGAGCTAATGAGTTGGTCTACACATGGTGTGTGCACCCAGCAAACTCAGCCAGCTGGGTCACGAACCAACCAAAGGGCTGCGGTTCCTAATGGGACATGCTTGTGTCGGTGCTGCAGGAGCCACCCTGGTGCTGCCAGCTTGCTTTTCAACCGGTTAAATCATCACAGAGCACAAGCTAGGTGCCATCCAGCTCTTCTGCACACAGCTGAGAACAAAATGCCCATCCTGCCTGCCTCCATAGACACATTCTGCTCCCGCCACTCTGCTGAGCAACAGGGAATAATCTTGTGTTCTCATGAGCAAACAACTGTTGTAGAAGATTTCAATTACAGTCATGCAGAGTGACTGTGGTGTGTGGATTTGCATAAATCTATTTAACCTCATAAAGCACTTGATTCAAAGCCCAGGGAAATCAATACAAAGTCTTGCATCTATATCATTTGCTTTGGGATCAGACCCCTAGAGATCTCAGTGGCTTTGTCCTCAGTGCTAGGAAAGTTGTGCTTCTTCAAATGCATTCACAGGATCTGGCTCTTGTTTGCTGTCTGCTCAGAGAAAATCATAGACATTTATAAATGGAAAAAAGCTTCATGAAGAAATTTTTTGCACACTTACAGAATGAGAACCCCATTCCCCATTGTCTGTTAGCTTCACCCACTTGTCTGCTGTGGACTCCATCTCCTTGCACTGGTCATTTTGTATCTGTTAATAAAAACACAAGATCAGTGGCCACAATCAGATGCATCTCTCTGTCAGCATATTGACTGCTGGCTGTAAATGATAAGATTCAGTTTTGTTCCTTTTGTCTACATATTTAGGAGAGCAGCTGCCTTACTAGTGGCAAAAAAAAAAAAAAAAAAAAAACAACTTTCAAAACCTGCTAGCAGCTTAACAATATTTCCAATGACCACCCCTGATGCAGATGGAAGAAGAGAGCAGGAGAAGATCTCAGCCTTGTCCTTTCACTATATGGTCAGACTCAGATGATGAGCATCTTGTCTTAGCTGCTTCCTCCTTCTCCTGAGCCCACCAAGACCAAATTCCCTAAAATCCAGAGGCCATGGGCTTCTAAGTCACAGGGGAAGTAGAAGTGGGTGGGACAAAGCTAGAAGACATACTGCTTTCTCTGCAAACAGTATCTGCTATGTCTTTGTCTCCCTGCTACCTGACTTCACTAGGGATGAAAGTAATGTTATCAAGGGAGAGGCAACGTGATCAACAGTCTGCCTGACAGAAGTGTGAGGTTGATTGTCCCTTGCCCAGGTCCAGAGCAGCTCAGAAGCCTTTCCTTGCAGCAGGGTTTGGTGCATGGCCCCACAGTGATCCGCTTCTTTCTTCTCATAATTCTCTTCTCTGAAGAAAAAGTATCAAGTCCCTTTGAGGCATAAGTTGAATTGCTCAGCTCTTATTCCACTAGGGAGAAAGGCCAGTTCAACACTCCCTTACTAAAGGTTTCCACGTACTAATGTCTTGGAACACCTCAGGTTCTGAATGACTACTTTGGAAGAAATCTTTTGAAACATCAAGTCCCTTCAAAGGCATCTTAGGTCAAACACTCCCAAACTGAAGCATCTACCACCAACAGTTGTCTTGTAAAAGGCTGGACTAACAGGGGCAGTCATGACCCCTAATGGAAAAATCCCAGTGCGTGGTAGATAGGATCAGTTTAGCTTGAGTTTTGAAGCTGAAATAAATGCCAAAAGGCACCAAAGTGACTGAGAGATAGGAAGGTTTTTTCATCTTGTTCAGCAATAATAAGCTATGGACATATGGGGAATGTAAAAGGAGGAAAAAAGAGTTTCTAATGATTCTTAAAATATAAAGTCAGATTCACCACATAAAAGGCCTTACAAAAAATTCAAAGAAGATGTTGTTGTCAATATACTGGTATTCAAAGAAGACAGAACCAGATTTCTTCAGGTGCACAGCATAGATGAGAGAAACTGTACAGTCATCCCTGTTCGACTCTATGTAATTCCCCCGAGGCGTCCATGAAGAGCTGGTGAACATAAATAAACCAAGCCTCAGCTGAGATCACAGAAACAGATTTTTCTTACAGTACTATGCAAAAACATGTTACTTAATAAAGAACCCGGAATCCCACAATAGCTAATTGCAGCGAATTTATAACTTTATTACTGGATTCCCATTTATTTTTAATGTGAATATAATATTTTTCATTAAAACCATGCATGGGAAAGGATACTAGGATCCAGCCTACATAGGAGAGATTTATTATCCCTAGGTTCAACATACTTTCAATTATATTCAGAAACAGCTGTCTGCAACAACCATGGGTCTCTAAATAGGCTGTAAAAGTACCTTTTAGCCACATTTACTACACCATGACCCTGCAGCTTTCCAGCTACAAATAAGAGCAGCTCCATGCTGGTCTTAGACACACTAGCTGCTGTTGAGCCTGAGGAGACCATGATGACAGCAAAGAGATGGCTACAAATTTCACTTTCCAGCCACTCTTGTTTGCCATTAGTAGGGCTCGTTACTGTTTGGAGATCTTAGGTAAGTCACTAAGCTGGCTTTGTGCTGTTGAGCTGCCTCGGGTTCACCCATGGCTGCATAACCCAGATGCAAACAGAAATTCTTACTTGTTGCAGCTGTCAGCTTTATTCTCAGCCGAGCCAACCGCCGTGTCCATGAAAGTTGCCACGTTGGAGAATCCTGCCGGCAGCTCATCCCATTCATCAAACTTGATCCCACTACCCAGCGAGTAGGTCCCCTCTGCACATTTGCTGCACATCTGGTTCTTCATCTCCAGGTACTCACCAGAGGCGCAGGAGAAAGCTGGGGAGACAATCGTTTCCAACATATGAATGGAGAAATTAATCCAAATTAATTTCCATTAATTTTTTTGCCACTTAATTAACTGAGAGTGAACTGTCACTAAAGGGAACCAAACAAGAATGCCACAGCCCCAGGAACTCAACAGCTGAACTAGCAACATTGGCTGCAAAATTGAGATGTTCACCAGTGCCTGTTTTCACCGACGTGGCAGCACTGAAACCAAATCTCAGATGACAGCTCCTGATTTGCAGCTTGTCTCTGTTGGCAAAACAAGATTTAGAAATGAAATCTCTACCCACAGACTGTGTCCAAAAGCAATTTGTGAAAATGAGGGCTTGTAATACAGTTCTCCTCACTCTTGCTCACCCATCTGTTACACTTTGAACCCAATTAAAATCACCAGCACCTGAGAGCCAGAGTAAATTCGTATCACCCACCCATATGATAGTTAAGAGTGCACAGCAGCACACTGATGGTAATGTAAGACTACAAACCTCAGCTGAGAGTTGCAGACCTAATCCAAGGCTCTCTCCACATTTCTCCTCACATGGGCTATCTACAAAGCCTTGAATATCTTGCCTGATAGACCAGGTGGATCTTTGAAAAGATCACTAGTGGGCCTGTGTCTTGTAAATGAGGATCTTTGACAGGCATGATAATAGCATGCTGAGAAAATAAACACTGGTTGCCAGCACAGCAAAGATTGTACTTAAACATATGTAACTAGAGGAAGTATAATTTAGAAGGAATCTTCACAAAGTGCTTTTTTACTATCTCTAAAATTACTTATTCCAAGTAGCTACATGTCCCTTGTTCCAGCCTGATCACACCTCTACCTGCTAAAGGAAGAATATCCCTTTTATATAGAGGAAACCCGGAGAGCAGCCGAAGTCCTGTATGCCCATGGAGCCCCATGTCTGTGCTGGAAATCATTAACTCCTGCCCACACACTCATTTCAACAGCAGACCATCCTGCCAGCCATCCCCAACCCCATGCTGCACCACGTCCTCTCTGAGATCGAACATCCTGGATGGAAAACAAATGAGCACTTGCTGCAGAACGTATTTCCTATATTGCTTGCAGATTTTTAAACTTAACTGTGCCAGTCTAGTCAAAGCAGGATTCAGAACAATGCACGCAACTCACATCCCAAGAAATGGTGGAATTTTTTACTGTTTCACGCGTGCCACATTGTGTGGTGATAGGTATCTCATACACTCACTTTGAAAGACATAAACCCACTAGTCTGAGAAACTGTAGGATGAGACCAGACTGCTAGCCAAAGTGGTGAAACTGACCCAAAACAACTTCTGTCAGTTAAGTCCCAGCATATTCAGTTTTATAGATGTGCTGACGTTTATCTAACTGCAGAAAAACTTGTTTAACTGCAAGTACTTTGATAAAGTCATGGCTGCGTAACACCAATTTCCATCTGAATCCAACTGTAGTTCAGGCTCTCATTTCTGTTCTGAAGCTCACAGCATTTCTTTGTGTAATTGTCCTTGACAGGCAGCACTTGAATGCAGATAAAAGGTTCATTTTGGTGAAAAAAATCTGTCAAATGGTCATTTTTCCCTCTAGATCATACCAGCATACTCTGAATTTGAACCAGTGGACTTCAAGCCAACAAATCTGTTTTTCTAACCCTGTCGCTCACTGGTGATGGACCAAGAAGGAAAGTGGGCAGGAGCCTATCAGGGATGGGTGCTGGGGTGGATATAAACAAGGAAATCCTGCCACAGTGGATTTCTGTGAAAGATCGATAGGCAAAAAAATTCACACTCAGTGGAGGCAAGTGGTTTTCTGTAGGCAGTGGTACATGACACAGCAGTACAGCTAATATCCCATCTGATGACTTCTGCAACCTCAGCTCAAGCCATAGGATGTACCTGCAGCTGGGCTCAGAAACACAGCTTTCTTCAGAGACTTGGAGAAAAGTAACAAGCACTTCCCCATGCATCTGAACTGACACCACACCTTCTACAACTTTCCACCTTAAATGAGTAAAGGCGTTCTGACTCAATGCTTTAACATTATTAATAAATCCTGCCCTATTTTTTTCTTTTGAAGGGTGCAGAGAGAAGCCACCAGGAAGAGAAGTAAAAATATTCGAATCCTTTACAGTTTCTACATTTTTTTAAGACAGCTAAATAGCAAGAAATGAAGAGTGCTGTTTAACCACATGTTCCAGATATGTGAATTTCAAATAAGAAGTCAGTAACTGTGAGCAATTCACTGCCATAATGAAGATGCAGAAATCAGCAGAGCCTCCTCTTTGACTGCAGTGAGGTTGAACAGAGATTATTGCTTTAATTGATCTAATATCTTTTAACTCATTGCAGGCTGATCATTTCAGAGAAAAAAAGGGGTATAAGAGATCAAGCAGGCTGCCACGCAGGACACCTCCATGCATCACCCTCCTTTCAGGAGAGAGATGAGCTACCTTCTTATTTAGGTAAGGAATTACCTTCTTTCCCTTTTCTAAGAATCGTATTTCAAAGGCAACAGCATTTCCCGTCAAAACACATACGTCTGCAAGCAAACTAGCTCTGAGCATGCCAGCTGCTTGCCAGGTTCAATTTGGGACTGAATGTGGCTAATGGCAACACGAACCACTTTCAACATTGGAACAGATGCATCATTTGGTCTCATTCCAGGCAGTTGGGAGCGGCTGGAGGGGGATGGGGAGGAAATATGACGAGCATGGAGATGGTCTCTTCTCTTAGTGTCGCACAACTTGATCTTCTAGCAAGAAGGGAGACCAAAAGCCAGGCCAAACTCTCTTTAATCTAATCACCATCGATTCAGGATACTGTCCCAGCTGGAGATGGGCGGGTTGTGGCCATGCCCAGAGGGACCCTGCAGAGCAGAAGTCCCCTGCGATGGGCCAGGAGGCACTTGCAGGGGGACAGGGCACAGACAGATGATCTGTCCCAGGGCACTGGTGGTTCACCTTGCTCGCAGCTGCTCTATCTCACTAAGACGTAGCTGAGCACAGATCTAGAGCTTACCAGCAACTGCTTGTCCACAGAAATGGTTGATATTATCACAGCACCACTGTGTTTGCAAGAGTGACACATTCATGATGCTGTCAACTGAAAGGACAGCATCACCTCATAGGAAGTTAAGGTGCAATGTGAAGTTTCAGGAATCTAAATTATATATTTTAGATGTATGCTTGATTCATCCTCCACTATACCCTCCCTCTTGCTTCAGACTCCAGAGAGAAAATTAGTCTCCTGGCTTAAATGTAGCATTTGCGAATACTATCTGCCTCTGACCCCAGAGCCCATTTGTTTAAGTATCTGATACCTAATTTCTGGAGAAAACATCTCTATTGAATAACTCCTTATATGTCTACCCTGCTTCAGAAAACTGAACTAAGGCTACTAAATCATGTAGGCTTTTCTGAAAATCTGTTCCAGAATCAACAGTATGGATCCTGTTTGAGCATCACTATTCCCTCTCCCCCTCTGACTGCAAACTTTCCTATTATATGTTTCAAATATCAGTTTGGGTGCTACACACCAACTTACACATCTCAACACACATTGTAAAGACTGAATTTGAACTTCTTTCTTTCTGTGAAAAAAACTGTGAAATGCATTAAAATATTTCATAATTTGCCCCATCATGGGCATTTTTAAAACTGGGAGAACATTTTCAGAGGCAGTTAGGAACAGCACAACATACTGAGGTGCTGGATACATGGATGCCTTCAGAAGCTCCAGTTAAGCTGATGCAATTATTGGTAATGTGCAGCTGTAGCTTTTTTAAAAAAATACAGAAAAAAAAAAAAAGTTTTAGTTTGTAGAGTCACCCAGACTTGGTCACAAAAGACACTGTAAAGTACTGATAGATAGACACTGCCACAGGCAGCTACACACATTCATACATGCATGCAATAAAACTGACTCCAGATTCACGTCATAAAAAATTAACAAGAGATACAGTACTAATACCCACCAAAACCATTGTATAAGTCTTGTCAAACAGACCTTGTTTCATTCTTTAAAATGATTACAAGTCGCTTGATAAAGGTGACTGAGTGGATGTAACAGACTTAGGGTTTCTAATACAGTTAACTTAGTTTTGCATGTCATTCTGATAAAGAAGGTAGTACCACACAATGCAAGTAAAGCACATCTTAAATAGATTAAGAACTGCCTGAGTAACAGATCTCAGACAGGGCTGTCAGTGGGAAACTATCACTGAGCAAGGAGCAAGGGGGCAGCTTTGCCTGCGCCAGGGTTAACTCTGATGGCTGTCCGCATTTTTATCAACTATCTGTGGGCTAATAGAAAGGGAATGGTATTCAAATTGGCTGGTGAGAAACTGTTGTCAAGCCTGAGCCCACCCAAAGTCAGCGTGCTTTAACAGAGTCAAAGGTAAAGACAAGCCACTGAAGGCAAGGAGTGCCAGCCCTGCCTGCAGAAGGCTGAAGCATATCCTGGAGAGCAGCAAGCGTGAGGGTTGGAGTGGACCCACTATTCATCAAGAGCTTCCCCTGTCAAGGCGTGCAAAAAGCCACCAGTGAGATCTGTGAATATATTTAGAGGTGGAGATAGGGAAGTGTAGGATGAAATATGTGCATTACAAGCAAGGACATCATTCTAATACTGAATATAGTTGTGATTCAGCATTTTTAGGAGGTCAATGCAAACCAAAAGGACTTTACATGCTTTTAAAATTAGGGGTAATGTCTTACAGTGAGAGATCTGAAGTGCTTAGTCTATTTAGTTTATCAAAAGAAGATTGAGTCAACTTGACTAATATATAAGCATCTCCAGGGGAAGAAGATGTACGATCCCACTGGAGTTTTTAATCAAGCAGAGAATTGCATAAGAAGAACTACCTTCTGGAATCTGAACCCAGACAAATTTAAATTGGAAATAATGCACACATTTTTAATAGTAAGAATGACTGATTGCTGGAACAATCTGTCACGGCATGTGATGGACCCTTTGTCTCTCAAGTGCTTCATACCATAACTGGACACCATATGGAAGAAAAGCTCATGCCAAATACAAACTATCAGCCTCAGCATCAGCATAACTGAATGCATTTTAATGGCCTATGAGGTCAAACTATCAAATCTAATTAATCCCCTTCCTCCTAAACATTGTGAGTTTAGAGTGATGGTATCTTACGTCCCTCCTGGATAAGGGGCATCCTGAAGCAGGAGCCCTGCCTACTGTGCAACCACTTCCAAGGAGTGCTTGCAACAGATTACTTTGAAGATCTGACAGCACTTTACAATCACTTTGTAGACATGGAAATTACTCCTCAGGGGGTAAAACAGACAGTAAACAAGCTTGCCTTATTTGCCCTTTGACTGCAAGTCTCCAGGGTCACATTCTGCCTCTTAGTACACCTGGGGCCTCCCAGTAGTTTTGGTGGACTAGGAACAATGTTAGTTGGCACATTTCTCTTCTAGTAACTGACCCTAACAATCTCGTGTTGCTTAAATTTCTGATGCTGGAGTTCAGGATAGGCTTATCATGAACACAGCTGGATTAACAGAGCAGATCCTCACATGTATATGACTACTCAACTTCTTCTGAGGTCTGAAGCCTTCTTCTGGAGTGTTTTCTCATGTCAAGTATCTCCCAGATATTGCCACACCGTGAGAGAGATCAGAATATTCGTGTTTTCACCAGAAGATTAATCAAAACTGCCTCAATGCCCTGAACCCTCCAACACCAAACCTATAATATATTAAATTGTTTTGCTTCTTTATGAAGCCCTGGCCACTCAGTTTCATACCTCCCCTCATCTAGCTTCCCATCCCGCACCACTTAGACCTACTACTCCTACCTCAATCGCTCTTCTCAGTAGATATTTTTCTCCAGACATTTCTTATGATACCAAAACCTATTTCAGCTCTTCTGTTTAGTCTGTTGCCACTAAGCACGTGAATGTTCATGTATCTTTATGTGTCCCCCTGGCTTTCAATTCATTATAGTTTAAAAAAAAAAAAAGACACAGAACTGGATTTTGCCAGATTATAACAACATTACAAAAGGGTAGCAATGGAGCAATTCTACCCAAACCAGTAAAAATAAACAGGAAAAGTAATCTTAAATGTTGGCTTTCCATCTCTCCCTACTCCATTACTGTGGTGTTCATCCAAAGCCGCACTGCCTGGGATTCAGGTGAGATGCTGCCATCTCCTGCAGGCAGAGTCTAGGCTGAATTATCTCAGCTTCCCGTGGACAAAGGTGAAAACTGTAACTCAGAAAGGAAATATGAGGTTGGCAGAGCCACGCAGTTGTCCCTCTGAACAGCTGCTGGGTTCAGCAGACACATGCCACAAACCTGGAGGGGAATATGTGGCCAAGGACAAGTACATAGAGGCATCTGTTCAGTGATACCCTGGGACACTGGGGTCCACACAACATGGAACCAAGGACCAAACAAATTATGGGATGAGGAGAAAAAAAGAAAGCCAAAGGATGAGAGGAAATCATTGCTTCATTATTAATGTTTCCTATAATCTCAGCCAGCTTCACAATGTCTTCTGTGAATAATTTATATGAGGCTTCTCCAATAGACTGTGAATAATTGATGTTCGTTTTCTTCAGTCATTATATCCCAATGTGTTACCAGGAACCAGACTGAATATTAATTTAAGAAAAAAAGTCTGTCAAGGCTGTTTAGGCTTGAAATGTGATCACACTGAAAGCTGATGTAACTTGGGGAAGAGTACCTTCTGTGGAAAAGACCCTTCCTTTTCTGAAGAGTAAATAAATTTTTCCTTTTATCCAAGAAATTATAAAATAAATAAATGCTTTTTTGAGTTCACCTCTTTGACAGGAACAGTACTATTTTTTTCCCACACAGCATCCTTGTCTCTAAATTGGAGAGACATGGATTTGACGGATGGACCACTCAGTGGATAAGGTATTGGGTGGATGGTCACACCTGAGAGTTGCAGTCAATGGCTCGATGTCCAGGTGTCCAGAGCAGTGACAAGTGGCGTTCCTCAAGGGTTGGTATTAGGACCGGTGCTGTTTAACATCTTTGTCAGCGACATGGACAGTGAGATTGAGCGCACCCTCAGCAAGTTTTCTGACGACACCGAGCTGTGTGGGCGGTTGACACACTGGAGGGAAGGGATGCCATCCAGAGGCACCTGGAGATGCTGGAGAAGTGTGTCTGTGCAAACCTCATGAAGTTCGACAAGGCCAAGGGTGAGGTCCTGCACATGGGTCAGGGCAATCCAATGCACAAATACATGCTGGGAGAGGAGTGGACCGAGAGCAGCCCTGCATAAAAGGACTTGGGGGTGTTGGTAAATGGAAAACTGACTATAAGCCAGCAATGTGTGCTTGCAACCCAGAAGGCCAACCATAACCTGGGCCGCATCAAGAAAAGTGTGGGCAGCAGGTCGAGGGAGGGGATTCTCCCTCTTTACTCTATTCTTCTGAGACCCCCACCTGCAGTGCTGTGTCCAGCTCTGGGGCCCCCAGTATAAGAAGGGCATGGACCTGCTCGCACAGGTCAAGAGGAGGCCATGAATATGTTGAGGGGGATGGAACACCTCTTCTATGAGGACAGGCTGAGAGAGTTGGGGTTGTTCAGCCTGGAGAAGAGAAGGCTCTGGGGGGACCTTATTGCAGCCTTCCAGTACTTAAAGGGGACCTATTGGAAAAATGGGGAGGGACTCTTTATCAGGGAGTGTAGGGATAGGACAAGGAATAACGATTTTAAACTCAAAGAGGGTAGGTTTTGATTGGACATTAGGAAGAAATTCTTTACTGTGAGGGTGGTGAGGCACTGGCACATGTTGCCCAGAGATGTTGTGGCTGCCCCATCCCTGGAAGTGTTCAAGGCCAGGTCGGACAGGGCTTTGAGAAACCTGGTCTAGTGGAAGGTGTCCCTGAACATGTCAGGGAGGTTGGAACTAGATGATTTTAAGGTCCCATCCAACCCAAACCATTCTATGATTCTATCATTTTCCCCAGCTGGCTTGGCACATAGGACAGTTTTATTATCACTTTTATTTCATCATTTTCACACTGAAAGGTATGGGTTTGGAATGGGAATACTCAGTAAATTCATGAAAGTGTGGCATAGAGTGAAGGAAGGCAGTCATCACCAAGAGGTTAGCAAACACATTTGCTGCCACTGTTACAACCATTCTAATGGCTCAGCACCCAGATGGCATGAAACATACCTCGAGGTGAGTGAGTATCTCTCCAGGCCCCAGTGACTCCATCAATCTTATTTTGATTGCTCATCAACCAAAGCAGTTGGTGTAAATGTCTTACAGTGTCATTTGAGATGTCCTCTGCACACATACACACACACACACAGAGTGCTTGCCTCTCATCCCTCTACCAAGCCGTAGCAAATCTCAAGGTCTTTCCAGCTGCTTCCCTGTTGAGAGAGAAATCAGACTCAGAGGAAGCTGTGTTTACCTTATTTAATTACATACAAATAGGGTGAAGAAACCATCAAAAGACACTAATGCCAACCTCTCTCTTAGAAGTCTCAATACACACATCAACATGGATTTCCAAGTAACTCTTCTCCAGGAATTAAACTCTGTAGGTTGAGTGCAAACTCTTCTGCTTTTTTAACTATTTACCTAAAAGAATACGTGCTTCAAAAAGCCGACAATGGAATGTTTTCTACAAAGACAGTGTATTTCTTGTGCACAGAAGTAAAAATCTGGAAAAATTACTTGCAGAACTGGAGTATCTCTCAGGGTAACAGTACGCCTTAGGAAAACACCCAGATGGAGATGCCATGGAAAAATGTAGTCTCAAGCCTCAGCCCAGGTGAGAAACCTAATGCCATCAGTAGGATTCACCTACCTGACTTGAGTTAGGAACATGCATTAGCAGAGATGCTTTAAGAGGAATAGGGATAAATATCTGCTTGAGTACTTTGCTAAATCACAGCCTTTTAGTAGCAACTCTTAACCCGTGCCATGCACACCACTGCTGGCTAAACATGTTTGCTACACGACAGCCTTGCACTAATTCCTCAGCTTCAGTGTTCCTCAGAGCAGCCTCCACTGCTGTGTGCTAGTCCCCTCCCCAGTGTGGTCTACTGGGAAAACCTTTCCTTTTATTTTCAGAAAAGACATAAAAATTTTCCTAGGGACACAAGAGAGACGCGGGTGAAACTGAGTTGCCCAGTTCTGTAGGTCATACACACAAAAGTGCCCCTATAAAGATCATGACTTTGAAATCTAACTCTTGTACATCTTGCTGTTCGTGTCAGAGGTGGCTCCAGAGACAGAGTTATATTATGTTTATCTCTGTCAAACATCCTTAATTGCTATGTAATATATGACAAGTTAGGGGCCAAATCTATAGAATATCAAGAAGTTCTCAGATTCCCTGGATATCATGCCCACTAAGAATCTACTTTTTTTGTACTTCAGTGTGAGAGCGGAACCTTCCATATGTGACTCATGTTAACAGGCAGCTTCATAGTAGCCATGTGATTGTTCAAAAGAGGGGGGAGAAGGGAAGATGTTAGTCAAAATGGGGGAGGAGATCAGCATATACCATTTGTGAGCTATCTCAAGGATGGAGGAGTGAAAGGGGAGATGTTCTGAATGCATTTTTTGAACACTGTCTCAAAACAGTACTTTGCCTACAGCTCAGGATACCCAACTGAATCTGTCACCTTATGTAAGTATATCTATGTGCATATGTCAGATCTCAGAGACATGGTTAAAAACAAGCAGCCATTAATAGCTTGACCTCATTGTTTCTTCCAAGGTGAATACCCAAGGAAGCAACATCTGAATGACACTGAATATTAAAAAAATATTAGTATATCGAGATTGATGAAGACAAGACCCAGTGCTTTCAAGCCATGAGAAAAAATGGGAATAGATACATGCCTAGTTCTCAGAGCTACACTGATGTCACCATATTTCCTCTCTTCAGCTGAAACAAAGAAATCCCAATCATTTCAAAGCCCATTAGTGAGACCAGAAAATAATCCTTAGTGTATGTCAAATAAAAAAGGGAAAAAATCTTTCTGATGATTTGTTAGGATTTACATGTTTGCTTCAAAAGGCCTTAACTCGGGACTCATTTAAGCGTGATGAAAAGTAGTTCTTACACATGTTCATATATGAAGAGAATGACACTGTGGTGATAATAAAGTGTTTTGATTACATAACAAACTAATTTGAGATAACAAATAAATGTGACTGTGTAATAAATAGCACCATTCTCACAGGAGTATTTGTATGTACATTCACATCCACATGTGCAATAATGTAAACATTATAGAAACTACTAAAACGTAGCATATTTTCAAGTCTTTACCAGACTTGAACGCTATTTTCAAGTCTTTACCAGACAAATTTCAAAATTTTAAGTAAAACTCAAGAAGAACCAATTATTTAGCACAAAGACTACACAGAATTTGCCTCAATACAAATCTAGTTGACAATAAACAGATGTAAACTCATGTCAGAAATCTGTAATGCAAACACACAGGTTTTGCCAGATGTATAATATTCATTTTATATTACCCATCTAGACAGATGTGTATGTGCATATACAGTATGTTATAAAATTCACAGATGCCCACTGACTTCCAGGTAGTTAGAAGCAGACCCACTTCTTACCTGCTTGGGATATCCAGTCTTACCAGAGACTGAGAGAACATCAAACTCAAAGCCTTCTATTTAAGTTTTCTGTTAGGAAAGCAGAATGTTAAAACTCATGCAGATCACTTAAATTGCCTTAAAGTGTTATAAAACCTCCAAGCCCTGAAAAGGTCATTTGCCCTAATTGTGTCTAAAGTACACTGCAATTAGCAGGAAGATCCATACCTCCTCCTGTGGTATCCTAGGAGCAGATTATAGGAGTTAGAATAAACTCAACAAACACAGCTCAGTAGCAATAAATCAAGACAAATTTTGCTCTCAGGCCCCAGTAGAGTCCATTGTATTTTCTGAAGTCATTGGAGCTTTTCACATGCTTACCATTTGGCACACACTCACATGCCTCGTCTCAAAACTGAAGGACGTTTCTGATTTCAGAGAAGTTGCTCCTGCCTTAGTGGCACCAGGTAAAGGTGAAGTTTGTTAAGAAGAGCCATTAATAACTCCACAGCACCATACACGATCAAATTCTTCCACATTATCAATGTTTTTTGTGTCTCCTCTCTTAAGAAATCTTGTTGATTATAACTGGCATTTGGATGCTGACCATAACAGTGACCCTACCAGCACTTTTTCCCCTTGAACATGGCAAATACAACTCTTTTCAAAATTTTGAGATTCTTACTATGGTTTCTCAATTATGCACATAGCACCACTAAAATTAACAGATATTTATGAGATAAGGTACAACCTGTTCTTATTTAGGATGGCAAAAAATAACTCATATTCTGTGGAATAATGGAGTTAATATTAAAAAAGTATTTGAGAACAAAAAGTGAACCCTTTAAGCCCTTTTTGGTCACAAACTCTGCTGAAAGGAGCATATCAGTGCACCTGGGCACAGCAAGGGCACACTCCGGACCAGATATTTGAGTTGTACTTGAGTCGAGGGAGACAAAGAAGAGAGGAAAGTAAGGAGACATGGAAGGAAGGAAGACTCCAAATTCGGACTTTTAATTTGAGTGTAAAACATGCAGCACATAGTCAAGCTGGCAGAAAAGCCTGACTGTGGCCACTGAAACAGATTGCAGCAGTGTCGGTGGGAGCACATAGCCAAGTCCTGCTCCACTGCCAGGCCCCAAAAGGTCACCATCAGACACTGCATACAGCCCCCACACCAAAGCAAAGGGTTTTCAGAGGTACCAGCCATAACGGGGTGCAGGCAAGGGCTTAGACCCGAATGCAAACCGCTCCCATTAACTACCATAAATATTTTCCATGTTAAAAGCCAAGCAACTGCCTTGATGGCAGTCATTCTTATCAGCTAAATTCCCTTCCTGCTATCAGACTCATGAGGAGATCAGAGTGAGATCTGTGGTAATTAAAAATGAACGAGACCAAATTAGTTAAGCACATTCCTGACTGTCAAGAAGTAATGGAGTGATTCAGAGGTCTGGATTTCACTGAGAGAGGCTTTCTGTCTGTCACCCCTCTCCCAGCACAGTGCTTCTTGCCTCCATGTATGTACCCTACAATGGTACCAGGAAGATGCTTGGAGGGGAAATGTTAAATGGAAAGCAGAAGAGAGCCACACAGAGTAGCTTTAGGTATAATAAATATTGACATTTTCCTAGCCGAGATCTTTGCTGCACTATTAAGGCATCTCTTTGCAGGATCCCTTGCAACCATAATGTGGCAGCATCAGAGATATGACTCATCTCTGAACAAACACAAGCCTGAGAGGCTAAGCAGTTTGGCCTGGTTGTGCCATGGCCTGTCCAGAGGCAGCACAGCCCCACGGGGTGAGCATTGAGATACCCCAGCACACTGAATGGGAAAATGCAGGCTGACACCCTGATGTGGGTTCTGAAAGTGGCAATGCTGCAGCCCCAAAAGGCAAGGGGATCAGAAAAAAAAAGAGGGGAGTGAAATACAGAAAAGGGCATGTTGTCCCAGTGCATTGCAAGCAAGTTATTCTGCTGCAGATTTGCTCCTACACCTTCCCTCCCATATCTGGGGTCACTGCATAGCAGGACCTCCCACAGCATCACAGACATCTGTCATGTGAGGTTCCTTCTTTGTTCCCACCTCCCACCTGGATGGGAAAGATGCAAAGGGGAGGGTAGCAGCAGGGGAAGGTGGGTCGTCACATTGCTCTGTGCTCATGGCAAGATAAAGGCAAGAAACCCTTCTTCTTCTAATAACCAGGTCATAAAACAGTCAAAATATGACAGTCCTTTCTACTCTGAACCCCATGACTATTTCTCAAGAGGACCCTGTCTTCTCTGCAGGTAAACTTTGCTGATTAATATTTTTGAAGACTCAAACAAAAAAAAAGGCTGAACCCTGACACGTTTCAGAGACTACAGCCATTTCGGGGAATGCTGGCAGTTACTCTCAGTGGGTCACAGTCAGCTGTGCTTTGCAGGTCGGCGTGCACTTCAAAATGCAGCAGGGCGCAAAGATACCCAACCTAATTTTAAATGGGTTCATTCAAATGAAAAGCAGTAAAACACAACATCCTGAAAATGAGCACATTTCAAGACACTGACTGAGCTCTGGTGCCACAGTTAGATTGTTCCAGATACGTGAAGCACCTGAGCTAATACATTTTTAGCAATCTCAAGTGTCTTTCCACTCCACTGGAGACCACAGTCTAGACATATTTACAGAGATGATTGGAGACATTTAACATATTGTTATACCATCTTTCAAATTCCTAGTTCAGGCACAATTTAAAAAGAATGATTGTTGAGCATTTGGAAGCGGGAGAGGTTGGCGCAGTATTCTCAGGATCCAAAATTAATGACAGCCTGCAAGTCACTTCTGTTTTCAGGGAGCAGTAAAGATCGATAGCAGATATTCTCAAGTGGCAGCCATTACTGAATAGATGAAAACAACTGCAAACAGCACATTGTGCAGCCAGCAGCGGTGGCAGATGTGTTCCCAAAAAAATGCACTTTCCTACCCAAATTCCTCTATATCCATTGTGTCCTAACTGCCACCAAGGACCACTGAGGGCTCTGTCAACCTCAGGGAGACAAATACAGCCCTAAGAGCTCATGCTGCTATACAACTGCAACCCGTTTTTTAAGAGCAGAGACACAGTTGGCTCAGCTATATGTTAGGACTAGTAGATATCAACCAAAATTTATGAAGATAACAGATGTCCAAAACTAGAAATCATCCTACCTGGGGTAATGGTACTGTGGTCCCGGTTCTGCAGGCTGACGGACTGGAAGAGATACCTAAGGGAGCCAAGACTCTACCAAATTTCAAGATGAGCCCCAGTGTCAGTATGCTCTGGCATAGGGTAGGATATAGAAGATGGAGGAGAATCTGAATAAATTTGTAGAATGTTCAGAAAGACTAATTTCAAATGATATGGTATAGTTATATTTTTTGATATGCCTCAGGATAAAATAACACTAGGCCTATGAGAAAAGGAAAGCATCTCAAGGAGGCATTAATTACTTGGTGAGATGTGTATGCAACCCCTGGCCAAGTCTGTAGCACAAATCTCACTCTGCACAGGATCCACCAAGAATGTGAGTTGTAGCAGCCCCAAATATAGAACCTTTCATTTTCCTCAGGCTACAGAAATAAATTTATGGTTTTAGTATAAGACATCCTTGGTCCAGCTGCTGTGTTGTCAGATGAGACAGAAGCCACCAGCTCAGAGAATGTGACAAGTCAGTGAGGAGGCATCTATCTGTCAGCATTTTCAATACAATTCATTATCAACAACAGACACCCATGTGCAAACTCTAAAGAGCTGGAGGGCACATAATTTTCAAAAGCTGCCCCATCCAGCATATGCCACCCATTGAAGAATGGACTGTCAATCAAACTCTACACTGGTTTAAACATATTACAGTAAAAAACACCATGTTAGCCAAGCTGAATGGGAGGAGTGTTCCCTACACATTCCTGCAGTGATTGGCTACTGTTGACAGATTCACATTTTCAGGCTGAAAGATTGGTTGTTCTTAAAGCAAAAGGTAAAAGACCAGGAGATGAGAAACCTAAAATTACTTTTGCCATCAGACTATAGCCAGACATCTCCTGAAGCCAGATAATCTACTACAGACACAAAAAAAGACAGAACTATATTAACATCCCTGCACTCTCAAGAGCCCAAAGAGATGAGTTCTGATGGGTTCAGTAAAAAAAGTCAAGTATCCATCCAATTGCTTCTCAAACCAGCTGAATTTCCACAGGACTTAATAGCAACATTACAAGGAGGAGAGGCATCTACTGAGATGAGTTTTCCAGTGTATTTAATAGAATCCTGTACTTTGGTGTACAATACCACAGTCAATCTACTGGGTAAAGTTTTCCCCTTGTCTACCAGGGGGCCAGATATGGAGAAGCCAGAGATTCATCTATTGTTATAAAACATTTAAATTTTCACTGGAACTGATTTAAGACCAGAAAGACACACAAATAAGAGGACATGAAGAGGGAAGTGCACCATTTGTTGAAATCTGTAGCAAAAAGTCGAGGAGAGTGTAATGTTGCTGGACATTAAAACATTTATCATAAGAATTAAGAAGAAATACCGTATGTCAGAAAAAATGAGTTATACCTAAGTACTCCAGCGTACACCAAAAGTGGTTTTGCAGCAGAAGGGATAACATTGTCTGCTCCTTTATCGTGCAGACAGCAAAAAGTAATAGGTTTGAAGTATAACAAGAGAGATTCAACAGCAGAAGAAGCTGTAACAGGAGGGAAAAT